AGAGCTTCGTCTTTGTTATAACAAGACCCTGCATGCAGGGTGAACACTATGAAGACTAAGATCCCCTTTAAGAAGCGAGGTCAAACGCATTCAAAGGGTATTTAAATAATGGAAACTCGACTTAATTAAATACAAGTCAATTGTAAAAACAGCATGATGAAATGTAAAAGTGTCAGTGTGATGCATTATCTACGGAAAGTGAAAGAGGATATACCGCAGAATTTAAAATTCAATGGAGTTTTAACATGGGAGTGATATCACACACCGCGGACCAGTCAGATAGATTTCTGCACACTTTATTTATTTAATTCACTTTGCACAACGCGCCCCCTGTAATTCATTCAGTGCGCGATTAAAAAATGGTTATGAGTGATATCGCACACCGCGGCCCAGTCAGATCGATCTCTGCGCGGGAAATTAAAAAGTCAAACTGACCTCAAAATGGTTTACATTAGTACACAGTGTACACTGCCATCTTTCAATAAAGTGTATACTACAGACCTTCGTATACAAAATACCAGAATGATTGATGTTATACCTGTATACCATTTCTTCTGGGAGAAGGAAAGTTCCTATATGTATTCCAGGGCCGTAGCCAGGGGGCCTCACCCTCCTCCCCTTTGCCTAATATTCGTTCAAAATCATGCAGTTTTTCACCATTCTTAGCACTTTTCGCATGATTTTTTTGCCAAAACTGTCAAAAAGCTCCCCGCCTCTTGGCAAAATCTCCCCCTTGGTAAAACCACTCCCCCAGGTTAATCCAGGATACGGGTCTGTATAATTCTTAGACGAGATTGTTTAAGAACGTAAGGTAGACATAAGTGCCACCTGTTAAAAGCTAGGAGATCTTTTCTAAGTTATTAAGTCATCAATCAGCAGACTGGTAATTGTATCCCCCAGTCCCCACCCACTTCAAACTCCATACACTAACATACTATTACAATTTAAAATCAATTTTATCTGTCTTTATTTGACTGTAGAAGGTGTACATTCATCGCATTGAATTGCATTTCATTGCATTGTATTGTATTATATAGCACATCATTGTATTGTATTGTACTGCATTTTATTGTATTGCATTGTATTGTATTGCACTGCATTGTATTTTATTGCATTATATTGTGCTGTATTGCACTGTATTATATTATATTGCACTGCATTGTACTTTATTGCACTGCATTGTATTGTACTGCAGTGTACTACATTGTATTGCGCTGCATTGTATTGTATTGTACTGCATTATAATGAATTGCACTGTACCACATTGTGTTGCACTGCACTGTATTACATTGCATTGTTTTGTATTGCACTGCAATATATTGCACTGCACCATATTGTATTGCACTGCATTGCAGTGCACTGCATTGTATTATATTGCAATGTATTGTATTGCACAGTATTGTATTGCATTGTCTTGAATTACACTGCATTTTATTACACTGCATTGTATTTTATTGCACTGTATTGTACTGCAGTGTACTGTATTGTATTGCACAGCATTGTATTGTATTGCACTGTATTGTATTGAATTGCACTGTATTGTATTTTATTGCACTGTATTGCACTACATTGTATTGCACACTATTGAACTGCGATGTATTGTCTTGCACTGCATTGTATTGCACTGTACCACATTGTATTGCACTGCACTGCAGTCTTTCGAAAAAATCAAATTCGTGGTGCCACGAATTTTTATTCGTTATTTATTCACAGATAATCATTTTTCATTGCGCACTGAATGCCGGAATTTCTGCGCACTTTATTTTAATTAACTTTGCACAATGCGGCCCCTGTAATTCATTCAGTGCGCGATGAAATCTATCTGACTGGGCCGCGGTGTGTGATATCACTCCCATGTTAAAACTCCATTCGATTTTGAAGAATGCGCAGGTCCCCTATCGCTTTCCGTAATTATCAGCACAATATCAATTTAATTTTCTGAATGAATGATAAGTGAATTTTGCTCAATGTAAAATAACATAAGAATTTTATGAGACATCAGCTTTTTAAACATCAGGACTGCTTACATTACAAATTGTTTATGGATGTCAGAAAAGATATCTTTCTGTTGTATCATGAGTGTTTTAAGCTTGTCTGTAATTTTGGGTGTTATTAAAATATCCCTCTAAAAAATTATAAGTTCTCAAAACAGAATATTTTACTAATTGTCTCTTCTGTACACTTAGTTATATATTTTTGATATTGTTTTTTTAGATATTGTTTTTTTTTAGATATTGTTTTGTTGAGAATGAATCCCATTGGCACATTATGATAACAACATTTAAAAAAGAAATCTTCTTTTTTATTTAAACTTCAATCAAACGCATGTTTGTGGCACGTGACCTTGCCACCCCAGGGATGTATAACTGTCACAGTAACAGGCCTGTCAACTTGGGAACACCTAACATGAGTGACTTGGAAATGTTGAACACCTCCCCTCAAAATGTGGACACCTTGGTTCAAATCTGAACACCTTGATCCAAATGTTGAACACCTTGGTTTAAATTTCATTACATCTTGCCAAATTTTGAACACCTCAAATTTTTCGCGCTCGCTACCCTCGCGTTTCAAACATCCATCAAGGGGGGGAGGTACGAAACATTTCGGACGGAATGCTGCACATATACGTAATTCGCGTGAAAAGTCGGAACGAAATGCGTACATTTTTTCCGGCGTTCGTATTTTTGCTGTGTTGACGATCTTTTTTAGAAATTTTTCTACAGAAATATTTTTGCTTGACAATTACCAGGTAAAATGCGTATTTGCGTGACATTTTCTGTCACGCAAAAATAACTGGCGTGACTTCAAATTCTTCAGCAAATGCGTGACAAATACGCAAATTGCTGGACAGTTGACAGGCCTGCAGTAAAACTAAAAATGTAAAAATTCAAAATGTACTTGTGCAAAAAATCTATAAGGTAAATACCCTTTGGGAAAAAATCTGTACAAAAACATATTCCTTGTTTAAAAAATAATGAATTAACAAAAATTTTATAAGATTGTAGTCTAATAGATGAGTGGGATTTTTCAGTGTTTATGAATGAAATTATTATGCTGAGCCAAATTAATGAATCACGAGAGTTGATTATTGTATCGGACAATACCATCATTGTAGGTAGCATATGACCTCGTTGGAACTTGATAATTAATTTGGAATAAACAGCATGATTACAGTGGAAACATAATTAATTTGGAACAAACAGCAGTATTGCAGATTAGTATTACAGAGTAAACGTACAAGTGATAATATGTTATGTTGTACAAAATAATATTGTATATAATATTGTATCGTAATGTCTAAATAAATAAATAAAGTATATCAAATGCTACATAATAGTTGTCTGCCATGCCCTTGGGACTGATCGTGTTTTCAATAAGGGGCACGGGAGAAAAATTAGTCTAAAATTTGAAAAATAGCCATATTTTCCTCTGGCACTCAAACACATCAAAAAAGCACAGAAATTACCAAATACAGTAAAACTCTGTGTATCTGAACACCTGGCTAATCCAAACACCTCCCAATCTGAACACTATTTTGGTCCGTTTTTTTCCTCCCATTGACTCACATGTTAAAAATACTTAAAATGTGAACACCTCTCAATTTGGACAGTGAACAGTCATATTTGAAAAATCAACCTATCTAATGCAAACACTTTTCATAAAAATCACATACACCTTAATTTAAGTTTTGAAAAGCCCGCACCCGCTAATCAACTGAGGATAAAACTGTGCGAGCAAAATAATTTAATTCTGTTTAGATTAATTATTTATTTATATTTTAGAAATTGCAAGGAAGGCTCTTATATCACTAAGAACCTCCAGCATGCGATGATAATGACATAATCTCTGAAATATGTAAGGACAAGTGTTGAAAGGAAAAGACTAAAAAGTGTTACAAAACAGAGCAAGAGCAAAAAATGCGACAAGTTATTCTAAAGAGATTATGTTTATTCAGAATTGATTGAAACACAATTATAAGACTGATAAATGAAGATGTTGATGATGTGTAAGAACACAAAATATATATTTTACCAAAAATATGATTAGCTCATTAACTATGGGCATAGCAAAAAGGCAATGCAAAAGGACAGAATAATGATAACTTTGAAATCATTTGAATCATCATAAGATAATACGTGTAATCATAAGTCTCAGACTTATCTAAGAAGAACATTAATAGATCCTCATTAATTAATGTCTGCCAATAATGTTTATGTTCATACCTAGGCAGTATAACAATTATAACTTACCATAAACTTAATTTATGAAATAAATGATTAAAAATAAAAAGACGTACTGGTTGACATTAAAAGAAGGAACCTTGAATAATGATGATAGTGCAGTAGAGCAGGTGATGTAGAGGATTCCAATCCAATTTATTGAGTACCCAGGTGGTACTGAAGTATTAAAAGTTTAATCTATCACTAATTAAAAATTTGTTACATCACATTCAAATGTAACACTTTCCTCAAAGAAGTGTGTCGTTTCACAATTTTTTTACCAGAAATAGTTTGAAGACATCAGAGATACAGGGTGATCACTAAGTTCTGGGAATTTATTCTTTCATTTCATTATTTTTCAACCAATCTGACCCTCATAAAAAATTTAACCTTGAAAGTCCGAATTTAAACCGTTTCCATCAATCATTGAATAATGATTGTTTCAACTACCAAGATCAAAGGAAAAACCATTGTACGATGATAAGCAATCATTGTGCAACCATTGTGTTCAACCAAGCGAAGTCAACTCTTTTTCAACGACTGCGCAACCGTTTCTATACAATCATTGTAATCTGCAACCATTGTAAACTGCAACCATTTCACATTGAAATGTAAATGGTTGCAATATGTTTTGTTCAATGATTACATAGTTCAACCCCTGCAACCATCCTGAATTAGTATCGTTCCAAAAAATTATCATTTTACCTGAATTAAAATTATCTTTAATTTTAACTTATTTTAATAAGTTTGGTTTATGGATAACGAAATAAACCACGCCTGCTTAACCTTATATAGAGTTGGGCGTGACTTGTTTGACATGTTGTGGTTGCACACGGATGCACACGTATTATTAGAGCTATATTTGTAATGTTCTTCCTTCTTTCAAATGTAACCAAGCTGAATACACGTTGGTCTACATTTGGAATTCAAGTATTATCATTAATAAATAAATAAAAGTAATCTAAATACTAGTAAAAATATGCCTAGACAAAGAAGTAGCAGACGAGTTCGTGAAGCTGGAGGCCTAGGGGAGGACCTTAATGCGCCAACGTTAAGGAAAAAGCTTACAGAACTAGGGATAAAGGTTCCTCCCACGTTCAGTAAAGCTACGTTGTTGAAACTTTACAAACAAAACAAGGACAATGGCAATGATGCTGCCGTTAATATAGTACCTGATGTAACTGATAAACCTCGAGAAATCAATGGCGCGTCTGCATCCAATACTAATGATGGAGAGGCTGATATCACGGCATTGCCAAGCATGTCGTCCCAGAGTATTACTCAAAACCAAGGGGGATTACTGTTTGAGGCTATAAACAGTCTAAAGGACATGGTTGCATCACAGAAAACGTCAAGTTCTCGTTTATTGATATCTGATGATAACCGACCAGTCGATAGAGAGGCATCACCTGATATGAGTCTTGGCTCGCGTGGCGTTCCAATGGAGAACATACAAAACATAGATGTTATTTCTAACAGCCTCAGGAGATCAATCATAGAAGGTAAGACGATCAACATTGCTTGTCTCCTAGTCACAAACTATGAGGAGCAAAAAACACCAAGTCTTGTATCAAATCGCGATGGCACAATTCAACTAAAAACAATTACCAACGTGAATGATCCTAAGCTGAAGAAGTTCCTGACAGCCAGCGAGTTTGCTACGGCATTTGGCAGATATAATCGGATTATGTGCGACATATTTCCCCAACGACAATATGAACTGGATACGTATATGAACGATATATTGGAGTTATACACAAAAATAGGCTACAAAGCTTACGAGTATCACGAACAATTTTCGGCACAGGCGGGATCCTTATGGATTAACAAAGGAATTAAGGTCGATTGGTCGAGGAAGGACAAGGAATTGCTGCAAATGGTATCACTCCCTCGCTATCCTGATCGTCCCCCATTAGATCATGAGAAATCACAAAGAATGGTAGTGCGCGACAGAAACGGACGTACGCGTACATATATGGATGATGGCGGGGAAATATGTAACAATTTTAACTCAGCAGGCGGATGCAAGAGACCCATTTGTACATATGTACACGCTTGCTCCAAATGTAAGAACAGAAACCACGGAGAGTCTGCATGCGGAAATAAGCAAAGTACAACGCTTGAAAAACCGCCTCGTCCTCAATGACTCCAAGAAATAACTTTAAAAGCATCCACATGTATCAACGTTGATTGTTTGGAATCAGAGCTCAATAATCACCCAGATAAACAATTTACTACATACTTATTGGATGGTTTGCGAAACGGTTTCAATATTATGATGGGTGAAGAAATTGCTGAATTGGATCCCTACCAGTGCAAGAATCTGCTATCTGCCCGCACTCAACCGGAGGTAGTACGGGAACTCATTGAGAAAGATTTAAAGAACGAATTCCTCATAGGGCCGTTTAAACAACCGCCATTTGATAAATACAGAATAAGCCCCATCGGTGTGGCAACAGGAAAGTATTCTCAGAAAAAGAGGCTCATATTTGATTTATCATCCCCACATAATAACGCTGATTATCCAAGCATAAATGATCTTATAGATAAAGAGTTATGCTCCTTAAAATACGTTAGAATCGATGACGCAATTAAGATCATTTGTGAACTTGGTGTCGGTGCGCAATTATGTAAAATAGACATTGCTAATGCCTTTAAAAACATTCCTGTTACTCCCCGTCAATGGAAATGGCTGTTAATTCAATGGATGGATGATATATACGTATGCCCGAGATTACCCTTCGGATTAAGGTCCAGTCCCAAGATATTCACACACTTGTCTCAAGCAATCGCTTGGATTGCAAAAAATAATTATAGCATAACGAACATATTATACCTCTTGGACGATTTCTTAACAATCGATCCACCTAAATTTCAATCTGAAAGGACTATGGCTCTACTTAGCTTGATTTTTAATCGCCTAAGAATTCCCATAGCCATTAAGAAAACTGAAGGTCCGACAACGTGTCTCGAATATCTTGGGGTGGTCCTTGATTCACAAAACATGGAAGTTAGACTTCCATCTGAGGAGATTAAACGCATTCTGGAGTTTATTGACATGATGTTACAGAAACGGATATGCTCTAAACGTACTCTACTTCAACTATTGGGTCATCTTATATACGCAACTCGCGTTGTTATACCCGGTAGAAGTTTCGTGTCATATCTGTTCAAACTTTCCACAACAGTCAAAGACTTACACGACCCAGTGTTTATAAATGACAATTGTCGGGAATACTATACCCCGTAGTTGTCGCAGCCATCATCTTTGGTCAAAAATGGAAGTGTAAACGGATCATCTTTCAATGTGACAATACGGCGACAGTAGCTATAATAAACAAAGGACGATCAAAGTGCTCGCCAATCATGAAACTAATGCGTTCCCTGACATGGGCAGCGTTTACACATAATTTCGTATGTAATGCAGAACATTTACCAGGAGTTAAAAATGAAATCAGTGACGCACTTTCTCGTTTCTATTTTCAGAAGTTCCGAGTTCTAGCACCAGACGCAGCGAACGAACCGATGACTTGTCCAGATCCGTTAGAAATAATCTGGCGTTAACACGGACGGTAAATGATCTATTGGAGAGCGGAGTAAGCAAGGCCACGGCAACGGCATATCAATCTGGATTTAACTCGTATACATTATTCTTAATGCAAAACAACATTATCAATAACAGAAACATTATTCCACCTATCAGCGAAGAATTACTTATTTATTTCGTCGCACATTGTCATAGCGTATTACGGATATCTTATTCTACAATTAAACTATATCTTTGTGGGATTAGGAATCATTTCATCTGTTACGGTTCTGATTTTTACGTTATTGAGGGAAAGGATATGCAACGACTGGCTTTAGCGCTTAAGTCAATTAAAAAGAATGAAAAGCCATCGTCAAAACAACGTTTACCCATAACTTTTCATATTTTGCAACGCATTTGCAATATATTGAGGCATGGATTATTTGACCTTTACACGGACTTGTTGATGGAAACGGCATGTACTTTGGCGTTTTTCGGATTCCTCAGGTGTGGCGAATTTACGATCAATTCGTCATCCAGACACGACAGTCACATTCCCCTGCTAATGGAAAATGTCAACATCAACAATTATAGTGTAGTTATCAGCTTATCAGCCTCAAAAACCGACCCTTTTAGGAACGGAGTGTTGATAACTTTATATAAAACAGATACAGATATATGCCCAGTTACCGTGTCAGTGAAGTACAAAGCCAGCCGAGTGAAACGTTTCCAAAATTGCGAAAACAGTCACTTCTACCTTACAAAAGGAGGACAGCCATTATCACGGGATCGTTTCATCTCATACTTAAGATACACCCTATCCTGTTTAGGATATGATTCAAACAATTATAGTGGCCATTCATTCAGAATCGGTGCAAGCACGGAAGGTGCATCGGCTCGCCTCGAGGACCATCTAATCAAAACACTTGGTCGGTGGTCTTCCGACAGATACAGGAGGTACATCCGAACTCCTGCAAATGTTATTCAAGATGCTCAAAAAGAATTGACTAAGTCACGCAAGGCTTTGTAAATGGACACTGTAAATAATTATGTACCACTTTGTAACATTTGACTGAAAGCACCAGTGTGAATAATATTGATATTGTTAATGTCAATAAAAGTTAGACCAATCCCGAACGGAATGTAGCAATGATCGTATCATGTTTTATCACCTGACCTACAAACCCAAATCAATCAACTTCTATTACAATTGGGGTTCCCATATGCTTCACTCATTTCACTAAACAATTTCTCGGTGAAATATCTGCTTGCACATGGTTTGGCAATTATTCATTTCAACTCATTCTTCCCCAACTGCAATTCATTACATTTTAATGATAGTGCAGCTGCTTCAAGATAAACCAGTTCATAGTATTCAATTATGTAAATATACATCGCTTTCGCTATCATTTTTCAATGAACATTCTTTGAGGCATAGGGAATAAAGCCAATTAATAGTTGATTGTAAATATTTGTATTCAAAATTAAATATATTCATATTTTCTTGTTTCTAATTGATTGTTTTGTTGTTAGACATAAATTTTGACTTATTTTAATAAGTTTGGTTTATGGATAACGAAATAAACCACGCCTGCTTAACCTTATATAGAGTTGGGCGTGACTTGTTTGACATGTTGTGGTTGCACACGGATGCACACGTATTATTAGAGCTATATTTGTAATGTTCTTCCTTCTTTCAAATGTAACCAAGCTGAATACACGTTGGTCTACATTTGGAATTCAAGTATCCACCGCCATCCCCATCCTCATCACCTTCATTGAATTTTGCTAGTACTTTTTGGCATAGTTTGTTTTCAAGTTACAATTATTCATTTCAACTCATTCTTCCCCAACTGCAATTCATTACATTTTAATGATAGTGCAGCTGCTTCAAGATAAACCAGTTCATAGTATTCAATTATGTAAATATACATCGCTTTCTATGTACATAATTGTCTCCAATTTCAAATAATCATGTTCGCAACGCGACTTATCTAGCTGATAAGACAGGTACACTCTACGGTTTACCGTCTTGATTGTTTGAAAGTGAATTAGGTTTACTTGGGCTTCTTCCCGACAATCACGGTCCCGCAGGGCCACAGTTCCGCAGAGCTGGCTGGAGGACCCCGCGCATGGTCTCAACTCTAGCACCGATTGTCTCCTTAGTTATTACCACGTAATGACTTATGCATATACGCAATTGCGTCACAACGGTGACTTCGCTATCATTTTTCAATGAACATTCTTTGAGGCATAAGGAATAAAGCCAATTAATAGTTGATTGTAAATATTTGTATTCAAAATTAAATATATTCATATTTTCTTGTTTCTAATTGATTGTTTTGTTGTTAGACATAAAGTAAGGATTTGAATATACCTCTATTCAACAACAGTATATTAGGATATTTTTTTTGCAAGCATACATGCATGTTTATTATCCTAAATAACTTAATTCATGTTAATATGTTTCTTTCTCCAGTACGAATTTAGGAATGCGATACCAGACTAGTTTTCCACTAAATGGCATATGATAATTTATGTTCTCTTTAATATTAATTATGAAAAGAATTTAGCAAAAATCCAATTTGGTTAAGAAATTGACCAAAGAAAAATGGTAAGATTTCCTTTAAACTTAGCAAAATCACAAGATGAGACACAATGGCTTTTGTTCATGATCAGACTGATGATCAAAAGAAGCAGGATAAACGATGTACAAAATAATACAAACATATGTACACGTAATCACAAGTTGATTGCTTTATTTAGTGAAAATGTTTTATAGTAATAATGCATTCAGGCAGCAGAGACTTACTTTTCACAGTTTCAACTGGAAAACATCTGAATTAATAATTTCACTAAAATTTTGTCAAGGTAGATGAATTATTGCTACACCCATGATATACAAATAGATTGGTATGGGATCATATTGATATCAGAGGGTTTAACTAAGGACCCCCACAAAAGTTTATATACAATGAACAGGCCAGTTGCCAGCCCCCCCCCCTCCAGCAAAATGGGTCTTCAAATGTATTCATATATGTGTACTTAACACCTAATATCAAATGTATGGCTCACTAAAATTTAAAAAATACAAACAAGAGAACAATTTTGATTCACATTATTCATAACAGATTTAATTACCATGTTCTTTCTTGGCAAATATTTTTTATAACAATGCTCAACACAACAATACCTACTACATATTGATATTCTCATGGGTTTAGGCAAATCAGAATGCTTGAACAGCCAATTAAAACGGTTGAACGGCTAATTAAAATGGTTGAACAGCTAATTAAAACGGTTGAACAACTAATTAAAATGGTTGAACAGCTAATTAAAATGCTTGACCAGAAATAGGGTTCATAGTCCTAGTTTCTGTTATATTTATTTTCATTTTGTGTTATACTATATATATATTTTTTATTCTCTATTTCATGGAGAGGGGGGGGGGGCGTAAAAATTTAAAAAGTGTTTTCAGATTTTTGAAGGTGTATTTCTTTATTCAGTTACTTTAATAAGTGCCGAGAAATCTCAAATAGCAAGTATATGAAACTGCAATTACTATTTTCAGAATTTTTTATTTCATTTTTTTAGTTTGTTTTACCATGGGCATTCAATAGATTGAAAGTTCATGGCTTTACTGTATTCACTAGGGCATAGCATTTCTACTGAAATGTGTAATCAGTTTAAATAATATGTGTCAATGATTAAAAAAAACAGAGCTTATTTTTCAAAACTCTTAACTTGAAAAAATCTGGAGGAAAATATGGAAAATTTTCTTTGGCAAATTATTTATCAAGTTCTGTGTATGGAATAATTAAATTACATAGGATGCTTCCTTTATAGCAGACTCTAATCAAACTGTGAGTCTCTCTGTAATAAGGTTTGTTTTGCCTTGCCAAATTATTTTTGTTTTGTTTATGGATTAATAAAGTTTCTTTAGACACATCCTTCAAAGCAGACTCTAATCAAACTAGAGAAACGGAGTCTTTCTGTAATCAGAGTTTTTTAAGTTATGCTTATTGACTTAATTATTTAAAACACATCCTGTAATGTCTGATTGCATCTTCTCTATCAAATCAAAAATATCAAATCAATAAACAGATTATTTTCTGATTGAAGGATTTCTTCCTTCCAGACAGATCTTCCCTCCTTTATAATTGTGATAATTTCTCAGGTGAAGTATAAGTGTCTGAATTTGTAAAATTCAAGACTTCACCCCAATCAAAATTATTTCAAATGTTTTTGCAATAACTTCAAAAGTAGTGAAGGGATTTTGTAAAAATGATTGTCATGACAGTGAGGGGATTTGCTATGCCTTAGCATTGCTGTTACATGTATCTAGATAATATACATGTGAGTGAGACAATCGTCATCCTTCAAAGTTGGATGAAAATTTTTTCAATATATTTTCATTCACAAGACAAGTTTACTAAACTATTTCAATACTTTAAATATCTTTTTGATCAAAAACTTTAAATTCTGACATGTATGCATGAAATACATACATTTGAAATATGAGCAATATAATTATTTTATGTTGTATTGAGATAATATTGCCATAGGTTTAAAGGGTTGCATTCGATTGAAACGGTTGCAAGAAATTCAATCAAAATTTTCAAGCGTTTACAATGGTTACATATGATTGAAACATTTTCAATGAGTTTACAACCAAAATTGTAATGGTTGCGTTGTAACGGTTGGCATGGTTGCATAAATGATCGGATCAATGATTGTACAATGATTGTGCAACGGTTTAAATTCGGACTTTCAAGGTTGAATTTTTTATAAGTAATTTTTATTAGTAATACTTGAAATTTTCATGGTAAATGGAGAATGTAATTTTGGGTTGGATAAAACAGTCTCATTGTCATATGATGTCACAATGGATAATTATTGTTACTATAGCAACATTACAAATGGCGTAGCGGGTCAAGCAAAACTTAAATTCATTTTTATTTTACTTGATCCAAATTGACTCAAAATCGCGGGGAGTTATCTTCCATTATGACTATGCTTCTTCCCACTCCTCAAATTGTCCATACTACTCTTTAAGAATTCACACAAGGGTTCACACAAGTTGTCCATGCCCCATATTTACCATATACAGTTCACCAGATAAACCACCATTAGGTTCACTAAATTTGACTGTTGAAGCAGCATATGATAGATCATCATAAGTTTGGTTCCGATGAGGGACTGATCTCAACAGCTTGAGGAAATCTTCAAGGGATACCATAGGGAGGACTGGAAAGCGTCTTTATGGACTAGGTTTGACAAGAATGCATGTGCGTCCGGGCCTATGGAAATCATTATAAATGAAATGATCCTCCAAGCAATGGAGAGTACTTCTGAATAAATGACTTCAAGAGTACTGCTCTGCCTCTAGTACAAAAAGTTTGAACCAACCATCTTGGCAAGATGAATATGTTCTAGCAGGAAATTTTCAAATTAGTGTTAGTCAAAATTTGCTGACCCACGGACCACTTTTACTTTTTTTTATAATAACAATAAAATAAATTGTAAAAGGGATAAGTATATGAAACATTGTCCGTCAATTCAGAACAATGTACATTTGCTGGAAATTTCAACTGAATTGGTTGAAAAATGATACACTGATTTAAGGTCTTATTATAATTGCTCAATTTACCTTTAATTTCAACTGCATATTGACTCCATTCCCAGTATTGTTCAAAACCATTCATAAAGTTTCTAAGATCACTGTACAGCTGATCATATCAGAATATTTTTGTTGTCTGTTTATCATATTAGAATCATAACAAAGACCTCAATGTTATGATTTATGTCAAATATATGACCTCAAATTTTATTCTGGCCATTGCCAAAGACCTCAATTGCTACACGATTTCGGCCTTTTAATATTAAACAGAATGACCTTTCGGTCACATATTATGACATAAATCTAGTAAAATTGATAAGTATTTTGAAAATTCAGATTGTATGACACATTAATTTGTTTTCATTCAAACCAAATGTCAACTTTTTAGCAAAGCAATATTTAATAATTGCAATAATCGTGTCAAATGTACATTTATGATTTCAGTGACACCCCAAAGAATAATATAGCTATGATTATCCAAATATGTAACAAAGATACACTAAGTGTGTAATTATTTGCATATTTGCATTTTATGATACTAATAAGCCCTCACCAGACACCTGTGGTAGACAGTGTCATTTTTCAAAAGAAAAACCTTTAGAATTATAACTAAAGAGTCAAGTTGCATGATTTAAATGTCCCGGATACATGTACTACCTAAGCTTGATTTGTGAAAGATATTTACAGAAAGAATGGGTATTGATATGGCGATATTTTTAAACACACGTTTCTCTTAAACCAGTCATCAAAAATTTCTGAAAATCTTACAAATTGTCAATTCAATGGCCATCTTTTGAATGGTAACAATATAATTTGAAATAGATATACATGTGTACATACTTTCATCTATATTGTTTTAAAAAACACATCAAACACTTGTTTTGTTCTTGGTATCATGTTTCCAGAGTGAAATGAAACATCTATCTGAACCTCATTAGAACAAAACGACATAAACACAACATGTTTAGGTCTCTCAATATTGTAACTGTAGAAAGGAAATTTTGGTTGATTTTAAAAAAGTATCTTGTAAATGAAATAAAAGTTTTTTCTTGATTTTTATCTATTTTGGGGGGATTTTGTTTTAATTTTTTGAATACTTTTTCAAAATCAACCAAAATTTCCCTTGTATAACTTTAATATTGAGAGGTCTAAAAACATGTTGTATATGCTATTTTGTTCCAACAAGGTTTGGAAAGACATTTTATTTTATTCTCAAGAATTGGTAGAAAGGAGCAAAAACAATTGCACTAAAAAAACAAAAAATGTTAACAAAAACAGTTGTATAAAATATTTCTAAATAATTTTCGCATTAAATTGTTGTCAATCAGTCAACATTACATAAAATACCATGTTTTTTTACAGAATGTTTTCAACAATTGGTTTAAGAGAAAAACATTGTTGAATTCGGTTCACCATATCGATACCAATCCTTTGCTTATTGTACAACTTGAATTCTTTACAGCTCAGATGCAATAGCAGACTAATGCCAATATCTGATTTGGTCTTAGTTATGCTGGGTGAATTATTTGGTGGCCATTTTGAATTTTTTGATTATAAGTGCGATATTTATCACTGTGTGTCTTTCTCATAGTAGGGTAGCATTTATAATAGCTGTAGTTTCAAGAGACTAAGAAAAAACACCAAATTTGTATTCAAAATGGTTGTTTTGTTTGATTTTTATTCATCAAGTCATTACTTAGAAACTACAGGAAGCTTTATGCATCAGCACATGTAATTGTGATGTACCAAGGAGACACAGCTGCGTCTTCAGGCCGAAGAGTTTGCACACTAAAAAGTGAAGATTCCATACTCAAAGTTGGATCTTGTATTGTAAACTCTTGTTGATAACAAAGTTGGTGATTTCTTAGTGGATAGCCATACCACAGCTGAAATAGAAATGCAACTTGAAAATATATAAAAGGTACATAATGAGTTGCATCAAAGAAATCTTTCTGAAATATTTTTGTGAAATGGAATCAGAAAGGATAGTGGGTGTTGAGTGTTGGAAGCAATTTTTATATAATAAAAGTCAGAACTATTGGACTGATAAAAAATGTTAGAAAACAGGCATGACTTGGAAGGATAAAAGCTTAACATATTCAAAAAGTTGTGACAATTTTTTCGAAACTTTGTACTTTCAACTCATCTCTATTACCATTCTACTCTCTTTAACTCAGATAAGAAGTCTATAATATTTAAATTCAAAACAGTAAAGGGTTTTGTTCACAGTACATGTAAATGGATGTCCATACCTTGATTGTACTACCTGACTGACACCCAAAGTTTGTCAGGTTTGCGACGATTGAAAATGGTCCATTTATGCAGCATTTAAGGAGGTCAGTATCAATCTCAGCATCATTGGAGAAAAAAACCTGTCCCTTGCGTGAACTATAAACTCTTGTGTAATCCGGATTTGGGCTGCTAGTAGCTTCACTCATTGTAAACTTGCAGGGTCCTTCTGAATAATGTCCATCCCAAATGTAAAAATTTTAACTTTTCAACATTCAATACTCTATGTAATGATATTCTACATTTTGAACAGTTTATGTTGATTCATGCAGTATAAGTATGAAATATATAACCATTTCACACAATCTGACTATCAGTAATTGAAAAATATAGAAATAGTTATTATTTTGAAAAATAATAAATTAATGTCAAAGTAGATTGCCAAAGTTTATATGATGCTTTCTGACTGACTGAGTCTGCTATTCGTTTTACTACCTTGACCTCTAGATTCTAGATTAATGACCTTTCACCACCATTAGATAACACTAACCTTCTGCCGTTGTTGTCGAAGGGCAAAGTGTCCAAGCCAAAGATGTTTGGTAAAAACTTAAACGAAAAAGTCCGCCACACTTTTGCGTACTATCGCCTGGACATATAGATCTGCACTCTGCATCTGGTCGCAGACTATATTCACCATAATTGTTGGTACAATAGCAGCTTTGTCCCAATGTAGCCCCTGCATACTTATAATAACCTGAAAAGTAAAATATGAATGTGTGGTATGAGTACCCCCATGAATGTGGGGGTGTTTTGCCTTTTTCTTGTTCTTGACATTTAGTGATAGGAAAACTATACTTATCAAAGTCAAAAATTAAAAGAAAGCAAACATTTATGGGGGTTGGTACGAGCAGATATCAAATATCATATAGAGTACAAGTACTAGAAAAACATAAACATTATCTCTAAATTGAACACTAATCCCTGATTACGATTTCAATAACAAAACACTATTAGAATCACAAAACATGTGAAAGAAAATGGAGTCTCAAAACTAAGATATAGTTAGTTCGATAAAAGCTTGTTAAAGTTGTACTAAAACCATTGTCAGAATAGCTTGTACTTAGCACAAATAACATCTATTTTGTTATTTGTGATATGCCCCACAAAACATGATTTATTAGACAAAACTGTCAACTTCTGAAATGTTATTTTTCACACACTTTCTAAAGTCATGTGACCATTTGACGTGTCGTGTGCCAAGTTATTCTGGCGCTAAATTTAAAGTTGTTGTTGTAGTTGTGTAGTAATTTTATTTTGAAAAATAAAATCAGCCCGGCAGCCAGTAGCCAGTAGTTGCATTCGCAAATGCAGCCTAAATAAGTTTGTCTTGTCACTCGGAAAAGTGTTCCACTAACGGAGGTGTTGCACTTCCAAAGGTGTTCCACTTTACAGGTTTCACTGTATTTACCTGCTCGACTACATGATACACTGCACCGCTCTGGGGTATTGTTTAAGTCTGAGTTGTATGCCATGTAAGGTAGATCAGCATAGGAGTCAACCTTAAAACATCCAATGTATGCATCGCTTGATGCTGAAATAGAAATACAGTAAAACCTGTATATAGAATAGGATTTAATTAGTACTGATGCCCTTTTAGGGCCAAACGTACATCCAATATACAATTTTCAATAACAATGTCTGTATATAGTGAACACCTATGGAGCCACAAGAAAGTGTCCACTGTAGGTAGGTGTTCACTACAGAGAGAGATCTTATAAAGGAGTCAATGTAAAATTTGTCTTAAAGTGGTGTTCACTAAACAAAGGTGTTCACTGGAGAGAGGTGTCCATTAAGACAGGTTTACTGTAATGAAAATTATTAAATTACAATATATATAGTCATAACCAACGAAATAATGCATTCATATGATGATCTAAAAGTTGCTAAAAGAATTACCGAGTTTTTGACTAACCTTCTAATAACAATGGTAGCATCCCAATAGCAAGAGGCAAAGCAATCTGAATCAATCCTAGTCTTGAAGAAGTCATCCTCATTTTGGTAAAAGTGTTGTATTACTCAGTTAGATAACTTACTGCAAATAATTTTTTCCAATGTAAGTTGCATATTCATGCGCCTGTTGTTATCCTAGCTAGAAAACATGTTGTCCGTTATGAAACTAATATTGTATGATTCCATCTTCATTTTAGTTTCAATTTCCTGCAAAATATTACATTTAAATAGATATTACCTTCATAAAATGGAAACAGCAATTTGTTTAGTTATTTGTTTTAAAATATTAGATTTTGGCTCATAACATGTAAAACATAAAAAATGTCACATTTTATGATTTGACTCAGAGGAGCTTTGTTAGTAAGTAATAAGCGATGATGTCTTATTGGCAACACAGACAAGGAAAATTAGGTTTATTTCTTTATGGTTTGCTCCTCATCTAACAAAATTTTGAAAAGTTAATTTGTCTTTTATTTGAACATTTGCAAATCAGCACTCTATGCTAACAAAATCTGTTGGAATGTGCTTATTTGAAGGTGCTTATTGGAAGGTGCTATATTCACCTTTCCATAAAGTCAGCTCATGAATATTATAATGAGCCGCTTAAAAATCTGTGACGTCAATGAGGGAAACTTTTTCCCGCGAAAAACAAATGCAATTGAGTTTACATGTAAATCCTCGGTTGATTGCTGTAAGTTTTACCTCTTCAAACATGCAAATTATCAGTAAATTATTGACAGATTTTTATTGAACGTCAAATTGACATTTATTTACGCCTTCTTAGCGATTTAAATATTAAATTTCTGTTCATAATGAGTAAATAAATTGAAGAGAATTACTCCCGGTCAGTTTTCAATCATAATGGGAACTGCATGTGAACAGGTGAAATTATCATAATCATTGGTTCACCAACATTATAACATGTCTCTCATGCATAAAAAGATATAGATAGATAGTCTATTTTAAGTTAATTTTCAGTGTCATTTGATGAATGACCTGTTCAAATTAAAAACATTTTCTCTTATTCATTAAATCATTGACTTCATTACTCCCATAATTCAATCAACTAAACACGATTACTTCCTATTTATTTCTGCAAGTCATGTAAGATCGTATCTTGAAAATATTATACATGAAAACATCGGGATATAGAATTGATATATTCCAATGTATATTTCCCGCTGCGTATCTCCCGATCCAAATATTCCCGGGAAAATGTTTTTTATTCAGTGTAGAAACAGTCAATTTATTAGAATATCTTGCTAAAGCAAAACTGTCAAAATAGATCCAGCAGACCGTAGAAGTTTTCTTAACCAAAATGATGATGGATTTCTCGAAAATAATGGGAATGCTTAGAAAACAAACCTGAATATGCAGGGTGTCCTGAAAACTTCGAATTCACTTGTGTAACCTCACTTGTCATAGGATAAATTACTTATGTGATGATCGGTTTTGAATAATGATCACTGGGAAGATTTCAAAGTAAGAGCGTATATCATATAATATTTATTGATGATACTCAGTATGTTGATATTGCTGATCGTTGTTGACATCGCTGATGGCGAATTAATACCAATAGTAACAATATCGTTATGTCATTTGGTAAATAATAAAGTAATGGTTTAAGTCTAGCTTCTTGGATAGAAAATTTGGCTTCGAAGTCACCATTTTAATAGCCAATGAGATGATTTAACCGAGTTGTTTGTAACTTCACAATTTACATTTTTTGTTTACAATCGCACGAGATATGTGAGCCCGGGTTTGTGAAGCTGATCTCAGAAGTCTTAATAAACAATAGTTCTGTCAAAAAATGATTAATTTAAATTACATAAGTTTCGGAAATAAAGTGCCCCGTCCATATTTCATATTTGATTAAAAAATATGGTGCAGTGGGCAAATAGAATCCTTTTTATTGTAGTTTATTCAAAATATTCCTATGCTGGCTGTACTAATTCTTCAAAACTTTCAGTCATTGACGTCATTGATTTGGCTCATTTGCATACAACCAATCAGCGCGCCGGAAATTATCGATTTTCTTTACTTTGTGGAAAGGTGAATACGCTCACATTTGTGTTTTGGTTTTAGTTTGGTTTTAAGAAGTGGAAGAGCCATGTGACATCACGCCCCCTAGAGGACAGATCTGAGATTGTAAAGTCACTCTACAAAGAGGAGTCCCCAGCTCTAGGAAGAGGTTAGTTCCCATGATTCAATTACTTAATTAGACCTTCAGTCTCTATGATCCACATACCCCCTATCAACCAATCATATGATTGTGGTATACATGTATGTTCAACGGTGAATTAAATTGAATCAACATATTTTTATTTTCAGTTAGTTTGTTCAAGCCTGGTAACTTTGTATATGTGGTGCTGTTTGGCTGGTGGGTGGCTCTGATTTACCTTCTACTTGCTCTCATCATGGGGCTTACTATAATAGGACGTCAGTATAGTAAGTTATTTAAAGTGTGTCTCAACTGAGCATCCTGGTTGCATAGTTTCACTCATTCTCTTTGGGGTTTGTAGAAAAAAAAAATTATCAATAGGTAAGCTTGATTCACTAAATCAAATAACAGTACATATGAGCGGCTTTGTGAAATAACATCATAAGCCACTTTGGTATTAATAGAAATAAAAATTAAACTTGGGCTGTAAGTGATCTGATAAAAATAATATTACAGTCTAGGTAAATAGTCTGCATCAATCCTCAAGTTACCATATAAAGTTATAATTGTAGAATAATCTTTCCCTTGCAGCATTTTTCTGTCTCAAATTAGCAAAATATTTCATCTGGCCATTTGGAAAGTTCATCCACAAAAAAGCTTCTGATGTTATCCTTCAAGATGATATGTCTCCCAATGGAAGAGTTAGGAGGGATGCCACCATGGAGGAGAGAAGGTACATTTGTACAGTGAATCCTGTATGTAATTATAATATATCACAATAAAATCTTAATGAAGATATTGATGTTTCAATGAATGAAAAATAAAAATAAAATGAAAAGTATTATTTTTTCGATTGGTCAATCATTTTTACAAATATGATATTATAACATGTCTTAATGCAGATATTCGTGTTGCAATAAATCAGAAATAAAAATATGTTATCAAAAATATAATATTGTTTTTTCTATAGGTATGAAAGTTTCACACACTCTCCCGAGGAGTCCACCACTCTTTTGTCTGACAATAAAGGAATAGAGAGGACTAGAAGCTCAAATGATCCCATGGCACATAGAATTTCAGCATATTGGGTATGTCTAGTGTTATGTAAAGCCTCAGACACATTTGCGATTTGATGGGCATATGGCGGCTGTAGCTTCACAAAATTGATAAAGAAAGTCTACATCCTACTGCTTATCCCTGTATTATATGCTGCACAAATCTCACAAATTTGAGAAAGTACGGCAGCTGTACAGTTGCCTTAGATCGTAGATGTGACTGAAGCATTAGTTTCATCACATTTAGCAATGGTCATTAAGTGATTAAGAAATCCCTAAAATGATATTTAGAATGATTTGCACAGTAAAACTTAAATGAAATGCGCTGAATGACCATAGTATTAATCCCAATGACTAATTTCATTATGGATGTGTTCATAATTGCTAAAAATAACCATTTCCATAGTTAATTTCAATGAAACCTTTCGGGGAATCTTTAGGTGCATTGAGTAATGGATCCTTTCTAATTATCTATGTCTAAAATCTTTTGTAGAATGAATATAAAATTCTTGTTTGAATTTAGCATATTATCATTACTTTGAATAAAAAATATATTCTCATATAGTCATTTGCGATTGTAACAATTCAAATTACTTTTTCCAGAAACGTCCCAGTACCTATGTATGGCTGATACTAGGGTTTCCCATAGCTGTCATTGTACACTGTTTGGTGTGTTTCCTTAGTTGGTTGACGGTCATCTTTATTCCCATATCAAAGGTAAGTAAGAAATTATAGTCATTTTTAATTAGATGGGGGGGGCACCCTGGCTCTGATGAGTTTGAATATCTGACTTACACAAGGCTCCCCATCTCAGATATATTAGTAAAGGCCTACAGGTACATCATTATTGCACCTATTTTTTTTAATACAGACGCCTGTCACACAGGGGAGTTTTTGCTCACATAACATGACAGGAATTCAAAGAGTTCCCCTCAAAGTAGATTATTGTAGTTTTTTGTACTAAGATTCAGCTCCATTTTGGCACATAAACAACTATAATTAACGAAATTACATTTATTTCAGATAAATGCAAAAACAATTAGACGGATCTTGCTGTTGCCCCCAGATGTCATGGAGATAGACTCAGCTGACATGGTAACTACATTACATGTTTCCCATAATGCAAAGTACCTTGCAGAAGTATGTACTCAGTTCAATGTATAACAATACAATTTGAGTAACATATGACACTACTACTGTACCATATTGCGCAGTAATGTATGGTATCATGGAAGACATGATACATTACCATCGCAGATTGACTATATTCAGTATTAGTTAATAATCAAAAGTGATTTGTATTACTATAAAGCATTGGTCTGGGTAAAGGTGTATTTTGTTGTTGTGTTTCAGAATGTTAGGCAGCCCCAGGGAGAGATTATTATGTTTACAACCAATGCAGCAAATCTCTATTTTTACAAATACACAGTGGATGGAATGAATGTTATCTTAGTTAGTATCCTTGAAAGAAGGGCTTTAAAAATTGAAAGAGATGGTCTTTTAAATACATGTACTGTTCCATGTTGTTCATGTTTCATTATGTCACCAACAAAAGTGTTGGCAATTGGGATCTGTGGCAAATTGTTCCAATTTAGCATGGGCTCTCTTGAAAGCCCATATTAGTAACCATTTGTAATAACTTGTCATGTTGATAGAATAGGCGAGATTATGTATACATTTTGAAAGCTTAACAATTTATTGCCAGAAAAATTTATCCCATGTAATATTTGGGATTTAGGGAGGGAGACGGGACCATACCTAGGTATGGAGATAGGGGAGACGAGGTACATGGCAGGGGTGACATTGAGCTGAGGGGCCGGTCCTTCAGGAGACAATTGGACATTGTGGATATGACTGCTTCACGATGACATCACACAACCTCACACTAACCCAACCGATCCCAACCAACCAACTGTCGAAAGGAGAACTGAAAAAATGAATAAGATTGCCCATAAAATTAATTAACCAGGGTCTGGCACAATTTAATGTTCCTTAAATGTGAATCTGATACAGAGGTATTATTAATATATTAATATGTTTTGAAAGGCTGATGTTTTAGATTTATAAGATCCTTAACAGTATTCGATCTGCTTGTTTTTGTGATTCTTGCCCTGTTGATAGGCTATCTGGATCCTGACAACACCTACACCTCTGACATCACAGTAAGTAACTATGACATCATAGTGAATAATTTGTAATGACATCACAGTAAATGACATCATTGGTGTCATGCAAATCTGATACTGATTAAACTAAAATTAAACAAGGCTATATAAAAATACATTTTTATTAATCAGTACTATTTTATGCATTTAAGATATTCTATGAAGTATAGAAAATGTGTATCAATCCATTGTGAGTTGAAATTTTGTTATGTACAAGTATTTAGGCCCTTTGTAATTTCTGTTTTGCAGAAGTTCGTCCTTGCCCTACTAGCAATTATACCCTTAGCCTACTATATTGGTATGGCCATAGCTAGGTGAGTAAACACACCAGAAAGAAATGATTTGTTTTTAGTCTCTGTCACTCTGATATTCTCTCAGATATATTCATTTATTCACCAACTTTGCAAATTTAAAATTTGAGATTCTTATCAAAATGTTATCAAGTAAATGATGAGTTGAAGTGCTCGTCACAATATTTGGATATATGCTGGAGACTATTATGTACATTTCAAAACTTATTGATTGCCCCTCATATATATATTTGCAGTATACAGTGGGCGCTGTTCTCAATGCTGTTCTGAATCTGTAGTGGAGATTAGATTGTTCATTTCACAGACTTATTGAACACCCCTCATGTATTTTCAGTATTTCGGCGCAGAGCAACTTTGCAGTGGGTGCAGTACTAAATGCAACATTTGGATCTGTGGTGGAGATAACCCTTTATATAACATCCCTTTTAAAGGGAATTGAGAAGAAAACAAGCTGTTATTCTGAGCTTGTCAAATCTGCATTGACAGGTAATTGTTATAAGTTCAAATATTGATGGAACACATATTTGTAATTCATAATATAGGACTCGTACAGATGAAATTCGTCCAGATTTTTAGAAATTTCTTTCGTTAATATAACAGACAATAAACTTAACAGAGGCATTGAAAAGCACTGACAAATTATAACCAAATATCATTTTAAGTTCTATTTTTATAGGAACTCTATTGGCTACCATGCTGTTGATTCCTGTAAGTATATGCAGTTTTTACGTTTTTGCAATTTTAATATAACAATATTGATAAAAGTATGGAATAAAATGTATACTGCTCTTCAAGTAGTAGGATGAATATTGGAACAAACATCTTTGTCCCATTTTTTAACCTTGTTAAAAAAATCAGGGTAACATTAGCTAAAAGTCTAAATAATAAACTACTTGTATTTCACCATTTTTTGTTAAACAGTGGTAACATATTGTCACTGTCTCCAACCTTTTTTGGATGATGTTAAGCAATCGGCAGTTGTTGTTTGGCATTCAGCGTCTGTAATAAATGGCAGGTAGTGACATTTTACATGTTAATGCCTTGTTTTATAGAGCTATGCTTTATGATACTTTCATTTTTAGGGCTTATGTATGGTTTATGATAGTTTTATATTTTATAGGGCATATGTACATGTATGGTACATGTTAGTTTTATATTTTATAGGGCATATGTATGGTGCTGGGAGGTATCAAGTACAGGGTGCAGAGGTTTAATCCAAGATCCCAGGGTGTTAGTTCATCTCTACTGTTTGTTTCAGTAGCAGGTGTGTCCATAGTCAGTTTTATCACATTCATAAAACTCCTTATATCAATTCCAAAAACAGATATCTTATTCATTAAGCAGTTGACTGGAAAATATCAATGTTCATCTCAGATGTAGGAGAGATATGTTCATCTAAATTTTTATTATAAAGAATGTTTGCATTTACTGCAATATCTGCATGATCCAATTCTGCCAAACTAAATGCTAATCCAAGATCTAATTGTTGACCTTTAAGGGGCAATCTGACATCTGTCTGACAATGTATGTAATATCAGTTGAAAGTTATAAGGCAAAATCAATTGTATAAATTGGAATTTGATCTGAATTCTTAAATAAATATCAAAATATTACCTGAAAGGAGGAATTTCTGACAATCGACATGTACATTTTGTGTTACATCCGTTGAAAAGTTAAAGGCAAATTCAACTATCTGACTGTAGTTTGATTTGAATTCTCCAATAATGTGAATAATCAAAATACAGTAAAACCTGCGAACAGGGAATGCTCTTAGGACTGGAGGAAAGTTTCCTTGTTCAGAGGTTTTCCCTATAGAGAGGGGCCGCACTTTCAGCAAACTCAAAATTGCCGAATAAGCATATTTGTATATATATTGATTGATTGTACAAATGCCGACTCCATACTTGGTTACGTTCTCCTCATGTTGATTTTAGCTGCTTCTAGGGTGTGATGATGTCATGATGATGTCTAGGCCTAGTTGATGTAATCATTGATATGATGTGTAGAGATATATTGCTAAGAACTGAACTTCAAGTATTGATAATCTAGAAGTTGGATCAGTAAAAGATTTAAAGAGATTTGGCTCAACATGATCATGTACTTACTATCTGTTAACTCCATAAAACAATTGTGTCAGTCCCTGAGTCCCTAGATTGTCACAACTGATTTGATGTAATTTGAAAGGAAGAATGGTGTCATGATAATAAGTAACAGATTAGTATTAGTTTTAAAATATGTCGGGGTAATTAGCAGTGGCTGGGATGCTACATCATGTCAACAATTGGCTTATCTTAATCTCAATCATATTAATCCAAGCTTTTTATATTCAGATATTGGCTTAAGACTTTCACACCTCTGAAATATAATGGAATATGCAGTGTCATGAAAATTCCATATTCCTTGTTCACAGGTGAATTTTCATAATTTGCCCAAAAATAGTGTTCCTTGTTCCCTGTTCAGAGGTTTTCCCTACAGAGAGGGTCCCTTAACATGTAAGTCAATGGCAAAATATTCGGTTCTTTTGAAAAGCATTCCTTGTTCATAGGTTTTCCCTACAGAGAGGTATTCCATCGGACAGGTTTTACTGTATGTGTATTTATTTAAAGGAGCATTTGCGCCATCTATATTCTCGAAAGCATATGGTACGCTGGAATGTGCTAAATGTGTCAATTCATCAACAATGGCAACCATTAACTCGACAGAAAACATCACATGGGGATTACAGTGTACTGACTGCTACAATTCTGTGGTAGGGGACCTTTGATACAGGACTTCTGTACTTTTGTTAATTTGTCTAATATCTTTATAATTTTTGATACTCTGATTTGTTAGTTTCTCTAGCATTCATACTTTGCAATGAATAAAATTTTGAAATAAACTCTTTGTAAAGCTACACATTAAGAATTCCATATAAATTGCATCAATAAATTTAATATCCATATAGATTCAGAAAAAACCATAGTGAATTAAAAAGAGATAAACATAAAAAATGAAGCCCTTTTGTTGAACAAAGATCTATACATCTGTTTCTATCTTCTATCTATTTGTTTTAGTTTGGTATTAGCGGAGACAAAACTATATACAACACTCACATAAGACCGCTGGTCTACACATGTGCTATGTTGCTTCCCCTGGCTTACATTGTGGGACTGGTTTTCTCCCTGAAGACACACAGGAGCCATATATATGACACCTTCAAGTCTGATGCTGTGGAAGGTATAGTATTACATTGTGGGTCTTTTATTCTTCCTAAAGACACAAAGGAACAATTATTACATTGTGTGTCTTCTGTTTTCCCCATAGACACACAAGAGCCATATATATGACATCTTCAAGTCTGATGCTGTGGAAGGTATAGTATTACATTGTGGGTCTTTTATTCTTCCTAAAGACACACAGGAGCAATTATTACATTGTGTGTCTTCTGTTTTCCCCATAGACACACAGGAGCCATATATATGACATCTTCAAGTCTGATGCTGTGGAAGGTATAGTATTACATTGTGGGTCTTTTATTCTTCCTAAAGACACACAGGAGCAATTATTACATTGTGTGTCTTCTGTTTTCCCCATAGACACACAAGAGCCATATATGACATCTTCAAGTCTGATGCTGTGGAAGGTATAGTATTACATTGTGGGTCTTTTATTCTTCCTAAAACACACAGGAGCAATTATTACATTGTGTGTCTTCTGTTCTCCCCATAGACACACTAGAGCCATATATATTACACTTTCAAATCTGATGCTGTGGGAGGTACAGTATTACATTGTGGGTCTTTTATTCTCCCCAAAGACACACAGGAGCCATATATATTACATATTCAAGTCTGATGCTAGGTACAGTATTACATTGTGGGTCTTTTGTTCTCCCCAAAGACACACACGAGCCATATATATTACATATTCAAATCTGATGCTGTGGCAGGTACAGTATTATATTGTGGGTCTTCTATTCTCCCCAAAGACACACAGGAGCCATATATATGACACATTCAAGTCTGAAGGTGCAGTATTACTTTGTGGTCTTTTATTCTTTCTAAAGACAGACAGGAGGCATTATTGCATTGTGGGTCTTATTCTCCTCAAAGGCTCACAAGAGCCATATATATTACACATTCAAATCTGATGCTGTGGGAGGTACAGTATTACATTGTGGGTCTTTTATTCTCCCCAAAGACACACAGGAGCCATATATATTACACATTCAAACTTGATGCTGTGGAAGGTACAGTAATACATTTCAAAACTGAACACCAATGATGCATGAAAATGTTTGCAAAAACAGGTTTTTACGCATGTAGTTTCTCAATTGAATTCATTGGGAAGATAAAAATTAAACTGAAGTGTTCGTTTAGTGGTGTTCACATTTTAGAGTTGTTTGGGATTCACATGCTTTATGTCATATAGTATATATCAGTAGTGACAGTTGTCAAGCAAAATAAGATAAAATGGGACAATTTGATGCACAGGCATTTTCTTGTCTGCTTATTCAGGAACGAAGCACTTGATATATGGATTTAATATTTTCAGGAATGTTTTTTGGTATGAAAATCTACTGGGTCGCATAAATTCTAAGGCAGTCATAAATGAATTTTAAAAGCCATATTATATACATGCATAATAGCATGCTGAGGGATGTGCTTTATTGATTAAAACAATTTATATATTATACTTAAAATATATTGCAGTTTCTTATTTGTTAGTTAACATTGTATTTCTAGGTCCAGGTCATGGGGTCCATTGGGGTCGTATAAAGAGTGCTATAATCCTTCTCGTGTCTACTGTTCTGATGTCCCTTGCAGCTGACCTGGTCACTGAACATATTCACCCGTTGTTACAAACTTCTGGTGTCTCAATCGTAAGTTAATCAAAATGTTTACTATGAATAGTGCTTTGACTTCCAACAGCTGAAAATTTAAAAACACTTGCATGGAGTGACAGTGACAACTCTGACATTTTCAGAAATGCACAATTATTACATTTAGTGAAATGAGGAGTTGTTTTAAAAGGTAACATTACTTTATTCTAACTACTCTACCGCTGGATTAACACATGTTAAGCTATGCTTTTTCAAGTGTGAATTTCTGGGAAGAAGATTATTGTGACATATTGTCAGCATCTGTAACAAAGTGTTACAGTTTTGTATCCATTTGCATTCACTAATTTTCGTCAATTTTCACGATTTAGAACTATTGGAATTTTTTGCGGCTATATGGTAGCATGCAAAAATGACCAGGATTACAGTATTATACAAATACACTTTTTTACTTCTTTATTCCAGTATTTCTTTGGGGTGACTCTACTTGCACTTGTTCCTGACATTCCTGAGATTGTTAATGGGATCCAATTTGCATTACAGAACAATATTTCCCTCAGGTAAGAACATTGGCTTAGGGGAGCCTGCTAGGGTAAGATGGACCATAGGAAAATTTACATGCATGTATCCCTGATATTAAAAGTCATATTCGGGCTGTTCTGGCTCATTTTTAGAGACCAATGGATATACATGTATTGTTACTAGCCAATTAATTAATAGATATTATTGTTGTATTGTTATTGACCAGTGTATATTGTTACCAACAATATAAGGGGAGAGGGGTACAAAGTGGATATTTTGTGTCGGGGGGGGGGGGGGGGGGCATTTGCTTCTGATTCCCCTGTGTTTATCATAAAACCTTAGCTATTTTCTGAGTAATGGTCTATTTTTTAATTTTCTCATATATATTTTCAGTATTGAAGTAGCCAACTGTATTGCAGTCCAAGTGTGTCTCCTACAGATCCCTATCTTAGTACTGGCAAATGTAATAAAAGTAAGTACAATTGGCTACTGTTCAGACCCCATTATGCTGTTATGTGTACAGTGAAACCTGTCAGATTGAACTTATGAAGTAGAACACCTCCCAAGTGGAACAACTCTGAAGTAGAACACCTCTGTTAGTACACTAGTCCCAAAACCAACTGACTTAATGTTAAATTAACCTTTATTAGTGGAAAACCTCCCAAGTGGAACACTTTAGAGGTACCAACGTGTTTAACTTAGACAGGTTCTACTGTAGTTTGCTCCTTGGTTCATCAGTTCAATGTGAGGACCTTTTTAAATGCATTTAATCCCTGGCTTGAAATATAATACTGCAAGCAAGTTCATGTTTGAATGTAATTGTATATTACATGATTTAAGAGTTAAGGACTGAACATGTATTTGTATATTTCAGGATTTAGGGCTGATCCTTGTGTTTACAGACATTCATCTCTGGTCTGTTATATTTGCTGTCATTATGATGAATTATGTCTTTCAAGATGGAAAATCAAACTATTTCCAAGGTATGTTCATGTTTTATTATACGGTTTAAAAATCCTTATGATCAACATGTTCAATTAATTATTTTGTATTTTGTTTTATTACCAACTAAGGCAAAGAACACACCACAGTCTATTATGTGTAAAAAGTGGTGACATATTGTTATGGTCTCGTTTTTTTGTCTGCAGTTGGTAGTTGGCGATCGGCATCTGTAACAAATCCGTATAACTTCCAATAACTTAACAAATACTGTTTAGACTGACATCAATTTTTTTTCAACTTGCTTCAAATTGACCAATTTATTTTTTCAAGATCATCTACAAGTTCTCAGAAATTCAAATCTGACTGCATCTATGGCAGGTGGTTACATTTTGCATGTTAATGCCTGCCTTGTTGTATGTGTTCTGAAATGTCTTGCCTGTTCAGAAAATGCCATCATTGGTTGGAAAATTTTTGATGTCACAACGTCTATAAATTAGAGCAGCCCATTGTTTGAAAATGTGAACATTTTACATGTGCCTATATATCTAAATATTCTATTTGTTTCAGGTACAGCCCTTGTGTTGGTCTACCTAGCCTTGATTGCTATGTATTTCTTTGCGCCAAACCCAAGAGGAGCCGAATGTTAGATCTTCCAATATGTCCATATCCTTAAAGACAAATACAGTGAATAGATGTCTTTTAAACCTAGATTTGAAATAGTTCAGTTTAACTGTGTGCTGGGTACATACAAGTTTATTTACTGTCTCTATTGATGTACATAACTATGTGCAGTACATAAATGCTTACAATGCGTATTGAAATTGTAGTACAGTATTTACTAAATATGGTGAAAGTTTGCATAAGGAAATATACTACTAGAGGGCTAGCACAGAAGGATATTGATGGACCCTAGTATTCATAACGATTCATTCAGTGCCTGAACTTTTTACAGTATAAGTGAAACTGTGGTGAAAGTTGACTTTTTGGTCAAGAAAACAGCTAGGGCTGTCACAGAATTGAGACCTGAACTTTGAAGAAATCTACTCTTTCTTGAAAAGGTCCGCCTTTCGCACCAGAAAAAATGGTCCACTGAGTTAATGGATGACTCAAGTAAGAATTTGCTATTCAGAAATACAAGGAGTCGTGATTCAAACAGTGAATTTCATATGAGAAGTAAATGTAAAAAAGTTTGATAGAAAGAAACATTTTTAGCCACCCTGGAAAATGCCTTGGTCCAGAGGGCAGATATATTACCCAAGGAGTATAATCCTAATATCAAACTGGTATATATGGAATAGCCTTCATCTTAAATACATATAAGGACTAATTTCTGATTGGAACAGCCTACAATATGCAGTTCCAAGTTGAGATTCTTGAGGGGGTCCTCACTTCCCAATGTTCTTCTCTATATTAGCTTTCCCTTTTAACCCTTGTATTTTATCTTGTAAATATGACAATTATATTTTATTTAGCCCAACCATGACAGTATATTACATAATGTGAAAGAAGAACATGAAATGTTAATTATGAATATTGTACAAAGTACGGTAGTAAGTACAAAGTACTATATACATGTAATGTTTAATGCATGTTTAAAAGGAGGTACACTTGTAAACTTGTAAAAGAGAAAATGACAAGTCGAGAGAAAGTTTCAAAACTTTCATTTTTACTCTCATTCTTTCTTCCATGTCATGTCTATTTTATAAAGTCCAACAGTTCTGACTTTAATTCAGGATAAATCTTCAGTTGATGATGTTATTGGACAAATAATTGAAAAATGTAGCACTGTTTTTCAACTTTAAGCAATTTTAAGAAAATAGTTACTGTCCTTAAGTAATACTTCACGTAATAATAATAATTATATATTACTCCTTTTTAATGAGATTTCATTGCATCTGAGTTGGAATGTAAATGTTATAAATGTAGATTCGGTGCCATTAATTACTAATGCTTTATTTATAATGATTTTAATGACTTGTACATTTTTATTAATATTTAATAGTAAGTAATATGTAATATTTAAGCACTGTATTATAATTCTATGTGTAATCCTGGAGGTTATTAATAATCAAGATATTTTGTTAATATTTTAGATAAACTAATTATTCTACATTATATTGTATTATCTGCTTTTTTGTCACCACCACCAAGTAGCCACATTGTAATTTTAAGCAACGTTTTTTGACAAACATTTGGTGTTTGGCATCAGCAGCTTCATGACTACATTTGGTGTTTGGCATCAGCTACGTTATGGTTACACTTGTGATTGCAGCCAGGTGGTGACATTTTGTCATATTAATGTCTTGCCTCACTTATACATGTAATTAGTAAGACTAAGAGATTATTATAAACAATTTTTCAATTATACTCAATTTTGGTATTTAGCAAGATACTCTGTTTTTTCATATTGAAAAAATTTCCAATATACTGTACAAGGAATGTCTCAGAAGTTATGACTTGGGATATAGAACATCTGAGCTCTATTTACACATTAAAAGTGAAAAAAGAAAATGAATGTTTCAGTCTCATTGAACATGTTAAATGTTGTAAATAAAAGTACTTGATGTTGAAAATTTGAGTAATATTTTTATGTATGAGATCCTCAAAAAAGAGAATAAATTCAGTTTGGACTAAGAACTATTTATTTAAAGATGTACAGTTATATACAAAGTACATGTGTTGCATAATTACCCTATTTCTAAGATCTCAGTAGATTATACCTGGGAATATAAGGGATGAATACTGTAAAACAGTCAGGGTGAGCAAAAAATGGAAGCCCAAACAAATTTTGATAACTCAGTCATCCAGTGTGGGTTTAAAGTCATATTTGGCACAATTGAACATTTGTTCAGGTTACCTTTTTTTGGCTCACCATGTATCTGTCCCAGACTCCTGTTATTGAATATCTGGTGGAATTGATCTCCTGTTCATGTAGATTGATATCTGCCTATTGTGAAAGAAAGTAGGGGATACATCAGTTATGATCAGTGTGATTTAGATAAAGGTTTATCAAATTGGGGAATATGTGTATTTCCCTCATTTCCTGCAGTCCCTTGGAAGATACACAAATTTCCCTTGGGTTAGATCCTGTATCTACGACCTTCCAGCACAATAACTTTTATGCATGTACATGTATATCCTCTAAGATTAACAGTATGTTAATGATGATTTCAATTAATATCAATTATATATAGAGAAGTGAGGAACCAGGAATGTTAATAGACCATGGCACATGGTGAAATACTTTGGCTGTAACGAGATACATTTGAATCCCATATTTGAATATACCGTTAGGCAAGAAAAGTTCAAAATGTGTTTCATGCGGGTCAAATGAGGTAGGCCTATTGTGTTCATTGTCCATCATGCCCCAGTCTCCCCTACTGGGTGGCTGCCATTATTTAGGACCTGGGAGTTTTGCTTCTGTGTATGTTAATTTAATATGTGGAGCCTTCATTGGCAAAAACCAGTACTCATAATTATAAAAGAAATAAAACTTATTCTCTGAAAATACAGTTTCTAGTGCTTGGATGACACTTTGAATCGCTGATACGATTGGCTGGTGTGGTTGAAAATTACTATAAAAGGCTCTAATATCAGTCGCGAGTGAATTATTCACAGAAATAGGTCCAAAAATGGTTGAGGCATTTCCCAAATATTGAGGCTCGTCACAGTAAAGATGAATTCGAGTGTAGTTAAGATGGACGCTCTGGTTGAATTTTGCTCCCATCAGTCCCATGACGTTGAATGCACGTACGACGAAACTTGCACAATCGTAGGAATCAAACCACATTTTGCCACCGGGGGAGTCCTCAACAGTCCAAGTCTCATAGTATATTCCTGTATCATTATCCCCCTTCGCCCAAACTCCAAACTTGTTGAACTGATCCCCTGGAATTATATTTAGAAATTATTCTCAGAATATTGAATGAATATATAATACCATGTTTTTCAAGGTTCACCCAATTTCTTGTTTGATTATGAAATATAATGTGCCATGAACATTTTTATATCAAGGTAGCACAAGTTATTATGTATAATTTTGGTATGGATGCAGTGTTCTTACATCAGTGCAAAATTCTTTATTTCACAATTTAGACCGAATTTGGTCAAAATATGCCTTTTTCGTGATTTTTCTCATTTCAAGTGGGTGCAAATGGATTATCAGGTGTGTACAAGCCGATTATTAAAATTTCAAGAAGGTGCAACACCTATTTGCACTACTGCTTGGGAGATCACTGTTATGTAGGGTGCCATTTTATCAAGAGATATCAAGACTTTCACATATTTTGAACTTCAAACTGTTTAATTTTCAGGAAAATTAACCACCCCATGCAATATGGCTAAGTCAGTCATCATTCTGCAGGAATTTTTTTGGCAGTTTTGATCTAATACAAAATCATTGATTATGCAATTTTGTGGAAGTAAGTTCTCATCCAAAACAAAATAATACTGGCACAGTCTACACTTCAATTTCAGTTTTCATTATCAATGACGTTATAGATTATTCTGATTTCTACATTGTTGTTGTATTTAGAACAAGAAGGGGATATTTTTCATTCAATATCCAGGATGTCCATAACGTTTCTTTACAAATACAATGCAAAGTCTGTGCAAAGTGTAAATAGACCTTGAGGACACCCTGTATATTGGAATTCCAATTATATTACTCTACCTGTCATTTCTGCAACCTTAACAAGAGTCCCATTTGCAGCCCAGTGCTGGTCATCAATTGTGTCATAGATACATGCAGCACCCTGGTTACACCACACGGGGGTTGGTGTCTCTGATGTTATATGAGGGAAGGTGGAATTGCCAAGCTGGAAGAGCTCATACCACTCCATGGTGTAGTTCTGACCTGTACGGTTGTTCCTGAAGCCTATGGCATCATGAATGATGTCCTGAAATATGAGAATACACTGTAGATTTAAATCTGTATATCTGAATACCTCTATTATTTGAACACCTGTCCATGTGAACACTTTTCCCAGTCTTCCATAGACTCACATATTATGAAAACCTATAAATGTGAACACCTGCTAATCTGAACACTTTTTGCCAGTCCCAGTGGCGTTTGGATTAGACAGGTTTTACTATACACAATGTGAGCGTATGTTCAGAAAAAGTGGAAATATATTCTGATTTGGAAATAACGAAAAAATGTAGGATTATATGGATTAAGTTTTGCTCAAGTGCCAGCTTTCAAAGGGACAAAAATATGTTTCAAAACAGACCAAGAAATTAAATATCTACAAGTATAAGTTCAAATAAACCCCAAGACCACAAGACCATTAATGCTAAAGACCATTACAATATATTACAAAGAGTGAAATTATTGTGAAATATGAAAATATGATCTCGTATAGAGGCATCATTGCAAACACTATCAATTATATAATTAGGAGAAAGTTCAAGGTAAACAGGAAAATTAACTAAAGACATGCATACTTGTATATGGTACTAGTATACAGTATAATTTTCAAGATATCTAAAATAATTCCATAACTTACAAATTTAGCCAAAAGATTTCCAAACTTGAACTCCCAAACTGGTGCTTTCATAGCAAACACTTCTATTACATCATCGCTTTGCATCTTGGGCATGCCACCTTCTGGATTCCCTGTGGGGCAGAATGGGTAAAGGGCCTTGCAGTAAGGGTCAGCCTTGGGCCTGGACTGGAACCTCCTTCAAAATAAGATATTTTTGAAAACCTGTAAATGGGAACGTCTGTTAGTGGAACACTTCCCATGCGGAACACTTATTTGAGTGCATCAGAGGTATTCCACTTGGAAAGGTTTTACTATAAGCCTTTTGGTGATATACACTGTACATTGTAAATGTCACTTCTTCTGAATTTCTTAATCTGTCATTTATTGACCAAATGATGTATTACTGATCATGATCAATATTTCCTCTGATCACACAAACCAAAAGGATGATTTTTTGCATTATTAAAACATAGTTTATAAAAAAACAGTAAGTCAAAAGTAAAGCTGAATTTACATCAAATGTGCATATTGTCAATACACAAATTAACTAGGTCTAGCCGTTTATCCAGCGGGAGAGAGTTTATCAAACAATACACTGGTACATGGTACATGTATACCGGTGTGAAAGAAATTATGGTCCCCCGGGGATTATGGTCCCCCTTCTTAACAGCCCTTACTGGCCCTGATTGTGTATAAGATAATAAGGGAAAGAGGTCACCATATAATACGCTGGCACATGGTACATGCATACCGGTGTAAAAGGGTAGGAGGTCCTATCAAATTATAGTCCGACTCTCCATTGATTTATATAGTGACCTAAATACAACTCTTTCCCTCATTATCTTATACGCAATCAGGGCTAGTAAGGGCCGTTAAGAAAGGGGACCATAATCCCTGGGGGACCATCATTTCTTTCACACCGGTACTTACTTATATGGTACAGGCCACATTATGGATGCAACTGGATCAAGCAGAACTCCCAATGCTAGCAGTACTAATACATTCAGTAAGGGTTGATACTCCATTGTTGCAGAAATTATGATCTTCAGTTATTATAGATTTATTTCATAAAATCATAATTCACAGATTTTAGCCTTGAACTTCTTCCTTGATTTCTGAAATGCCAGTGCATATGACAATATCTATTATCCACATTGTTTATCTTATTTGTATGTCACATGAGACTAAATGTGGACTTTGATAAGTTGATTATTTACCAAACAAACAGACTTGATGATTGTCAATACGGTCATAAGATACTTGGGTATATCAATGGGGGGGGGGGTCTTAGATCATATCTTCAGACTTTCAAGACATAAGAATCAAAAAACAACACATTGAAAACTCTTACAAATAATATAAGGGGGACACCAACATCCTCCTTAAATAAAACTTTAAAGCATTTGACTAACAAGAACACACAGAAATCCAAATAAACCATAATTCACCCCAAAAACCAACACAGACAAAATGACACTTAATTTCTTGTTCTTGGAGTCAAGATTTTTCAAAGTCAACACTATATGTTGCAACCAAAGTACAGGTAGATGACATACTTTTAGTTTCTCACTTCATGCTGTATAACCCACTTGGACCAAACAAAATAACTATAACTTCCTTATCAATTGCTAACAAAAAATGTCACTATTTTGTCACTCTGAAATATTCCATGGGCATGAATCAAATATTTCTCAATATTCAAAGGAATTCAATGTTAAATCTTTTCATCGTGACTTGAATTTCATGGTAAAGCCTCTTTAGCAAAAATAGTGAAAATTGGGGCACCTTGCAATTTTTAGTGTACAGTTTTTGAGTCCTAATAAACAAGTATTAAGATTTACAGCATCAATGATACAATATGATCAAGGAATCAATTGACAAATTAAACCAAAATCAGCACTTTAAATATATATAATATCAGGTATTTATTTTACTTTTCTTACATGACTAGTTATAATTAACATATTTTTATTGTTACAGGTTAAATATTTATTTAACAATATACATATTTAATGCATTTTTTCGGAATTTACAACCTGAAATATTTTGAACAAAACAAAATACAATCCACTTGATACCATGGTAACTGGTGATATAAAATCAATGATTTGCTTGATGTATAATGACATTCAAATATATCGAATGAATTGGAAAATGGTTTTCAAGCATTGCATTCTTGTATAAAATAAATCAATACTTCAACATAGGGATTTGTTCGGTTTCCATAGCAACATATTTTCAAAAAACAAACTTAGCACAGGATTTCATTATAACTAAGTCTTGTAGTCGATAGGATGTTTCAGTGTTTGCCTTTTTAACTTTTTTAAAAACATATGCTGTCTTTCCTGAGATTACATCAGTGCTTTATATGTTATAAAGTTTATTTCCCAAAACATAAACTTAGGCACATGTTAAAATACTGCAACAGTATCTACTATAATACTGAGACAATATGGAGGTTCAAAATCTTAACACACTGACAAAGAAATCAAAGGATATAATTGAACGACATAGCAGTGTGATATTGATTGTTTCAAGCTGAAATGTTTATCAGTTATTTTGTGCAAGCTTACAATTCTGATACTTTTACCAAATATGTTTTCTTAACTCCATCATTTGTATATCTAAATGCAGTCTTACTCAAAAAACAGTAAATTTCGTTGCATTAATTGCCCCGAAATTTCTCGAACTTGCCATGATAGGCTATTATCTGTGATGAAAATTGGCATGGTTTTCTTCCAAATGAACCATCCAGTATGACTCATTCGAATGAGAAAAATGTTTATGAAGTAAGAGCCAATAAACATTTCTGCATAACTACTCTATGTATAGGAAGACCACGATGATCATTTAATGTACATTAGGAGAAAACAAAGCTATTTTTGCAAGTCATGGATTCTAAGTGTCTTTTTCAGTTATGTAGACTCCCTGACAGACTGCAAAGACTGGCCAAATAGGTGCTTAGCTTGGTTTCTCGTCAACTCAGATGCTGGTTAATGCCCAAGTCAAATTTGTGCAGGGAACAGGCTGATAAATAGAAATCGACTGATTTCCCTTTGTCCCCAGGACATCCAATATCAATCCAACATCATGGATTTGCCGTGAGTACGTCACATGTGACAAGGGTCTCCTTGAATTAAGGTCAGAGTTGAGAATAGTCCAAATTGACATGGGTCTGAGTTAACTAAGTGATAGTTTACATTAAAAGTGTTTAGTTTAATATCCTGGTCAGTCCTATTCTCCACTTTTCATTTCTTTAGTACATTCTCTTACTGTTCACTATTTGTTGAAGTTTTTCTTCTTTTGAGCGCCTATTGTGGCATAACTGAAAATAACATTCACATTCATATTTTACACAACTATTTTTCAATAAAATTCTGAGCACAAATTAAACAGAAGTGAAATTATTAATAATGCATCATTACTTTTCAATTTTTGTAAATTGAAGAATACCATGCCTCAAAATAGAATAATCCATTGGTGGAAAATCTTGGTTATATATAACATGTAAAATGAATTTGTACTTTATGAATTCTACCCAAAATATAATGTTATTGAACCTGACCAATGCTTGGGTCACATTTGTTCCGAAAAAAAATTCCACATATTTTAAACCATAATTAGTGGAGATTTAACAATTTAATTTTTCAAAGATAGACAAATTCAGTAAAATATTTCATGATAGATTTATCTCATCAGGCAAGATTTAAGACCTTGGTTTTACTCAAGTGCCTAAATTCATCCTTATAATGTCACCTGTATAACATAAAAAAAAATCATGGATATACTTACAGATCTTTTTTCCAAGTATTGTTGTATAAAATCATCTATTGGTATTTTTTCTGAAGAACACAATGAATACATTATTAATAAAATGGTACATAAAGAGGGCTAGAGAGGTAGGAGGGGACAAATGAAAATGCTCAAGATGTAAATTTAAAGATTAAATGAGAATAATTAATATTTTACTAAACACCTTCATTTAACATTTAGTAAGAATATTGTGATAAAGTGCAACTGTTGTCTTCATATTCCACTTTTGACTCCATATTGTAACAACTATAAATAATTATATTCTCTATGCTTATGACGTACTAAAAGAAACCTTGAAATTCTTTCCACTTTCTAATGGTAGTATTAAAGAGACACAATTTCCATACTTTCAAAAGCACTGGAGGAACAATCCAGATATCAAATTATTGTTGAAAACTTACTACTCAAAAATTCATCTGCTATTTTTTCTGATTGTTCCTCAGCTTCCAGTGTGGCCAATTTTAGTGTTGTCTCTATGTTACGTGCGCTGTATGTCTCCCTTAGTTCATCCTGTTTTTGACTGTTTGTATCAAATCTTGTCTTGAGCTCATTAAGATCATCAAACTACAATTGAAGAAATAACACTGACTGATACAATTATACAGAAAAAAAATTTTACTTTAAAGATTGCTAGCAATGTTACAGAAGGAAGCCCTTTTGGAGCAATGTTTTAGGGCCTTGCATCAGGTTCAAAGTGTTGAATTCTCGGTGCCAGATTGCACTCATCAAAATAATAACAGAAATTGTTGATTGGCTTAAACTCTTAACTCTTACTCTGAAAAAGAAATAACTCATAAAACTACTTTACCCTTTTTAAAAGTATCTCTTTATTTTTCTCAATAACAGGCCGATTGGCAATATTTTCCTCTGAAAGAAAACAAGATTATTTTATTGAATATAAATCATTTTAGATAATTCAGTGATTATATTTATATACAATTATATTCTAAAAGCCAGACATTTCACTTTTGGTGGCACGGGAACTCCTTAGGGTAGTACATGGGCCAACCGTGTTCACTGAAAGACCAGGGTCCCACTTCTAGGTACTAAAGGGGAGTGTCAACCTTTGGGAAGATGTTCCCCTTGGTAAATTGAAGTGGACCATGAACTCTATCTGTGTCTGGTCTCTATATTCATGTTTTTAGCACCTGTTATCTCATTCTATGTAATAACTAATTATTATTATCTCCAAAAATGGAGGCGAAATAAATGTAATAATAATACACTTACTTGCAATTGTTTCGTTTGTATTACACATGTGTTGTCTATCCTCCCCTAGTTTGAGAATCTCTGGCAGTTGTTGTAAGATCTCTAATAGTTTGTCCTCATTTTCACTTAGTTCTTGAAGCTCTGACACACTGTAAACCCAAAATTTAAACCATCACATTCATATCTAGTTTTATTTTGAATTCAAACAGTGAGTATATTTTACTTAACATTTTTCTTGGCATCTTAAAGTTCAACAAAACACCCTGTTTTTAATTTTAAGACAGATTTATTTCATCAAATCCAATTCTTACCTTAAATCCCTTAGTTGTGGAAAACTTGTGGGTATATCAGGCATCTTATATGTACCTAATGTATGCTCAGACTGAAAGATAAAACATTATACATTTACTTATTAGTAACATATTATTCATGGGGTGCCAGGTGAGGTAAATTTAAATAGGCGAGGCAAAAATTGGGACTCATATACTATTCATAAGATTTCAAATTGGTAAAAAATTCTCAACTAATATTTATCTTCAAAAGTACTGCTTCGCCACTTTATGCTTGGCTATGGTCATCCAGTGCAGAATAAAATTATGGATCAAATAATTTAAATATCTGGAGTAATGATGATGGAATATGCGTTAATACACATAACACAATATGTTCTTTGTTATAATGAAACAACTGAGTTAAAAAATAAATCATGTTTCCTTGGTATTTTTCAAAAACAACTCACCTCCAAATAACAAATAATGGATTCTGTTAACATCCAATAATACTGAACCAAATTAGCTTTAGAATCTAAATATTTTAATACATGTATTATTTTTGTACAAAGAGCTGTAATGGCACTGTAAAATACTTGTTGTTTCTTTAACCTGAAAAAAGTACACATTCTTCATCCCCCAATATCTTCATGAATCCTATACCAGGATGTGTTTTTGAAAATATATCTCAAAAATGATTTAAGACCTCATTTTGAATTGAAGCCAAATTTTTTACCATATTATTATACGAAGAGCTGTACTGTGGTTGACTACTTTGTGATGTCACAATAGAATGTTGGGGCACCGAGGGCACATCTGACGTTACACTGGAGCGTGGTGGTAAAGTTGGCATTCTGATATTTGTCATATAGTCATTAGATGGGCCTGTGTTTCTTGTATAAGAATAAGGTGTCGCTGTGTTAGCTCCTGAGAATGGAGGAGGTGCTGCCCCCTGAGGAGCAACATGGCCACCTGGTGGGTTAAGAGAATATGGAAGATTGGGCAGCATGCTACTGAAAATAAAAATGGAAGTTAATATTATACAAATCGCAACTCAAAAAGTAATTGATAAATCTGCTAGCTTTTAAGTTTGTGATAACTGTCATCAATATTATTATGTATCAGTACTCTAACTTAAAAGAAAAACACAAAAATTGTTTCTTACTTATTTGGTATATGCTATTTATTACTTAACAAATAAGTGTACACTGATTATACAGTATAAAACAAACTTACTAATTGCGCTGCCCTTGTAGCTGTGGTGGATTACGCTGGAACTCTTCTACTATTTCTCTGACAATTTTTCCTAAGTCCTTGTGCATGTTGAACTAAAACAATGAAATAGGAATACATGTGAAACATCAATCTTTCATATACTGTAAAACCTGTCTAAATAGAACACCTTTGGTACCTCTAAAAAGTGTTCCACTTTGGAGGTGTTCTACTTATAGAGGTTCATTTAACATTAAGCCAGTTGGTCTTGGAACTCTGAAAAGTGTTCTACTAACAGAGGTGTTCTACTGAGTGTTCTATATTGAGCACTCAACATCCAAGTTATATTCATATGTTCTTTGGACAGATTTTATCAACCTCTTAGACTCTTAAAGTTTTAGTGTGTGTCTGAGTGTGTGTGAAATAAATAATTGATATGAATATAATAAATAAGGCATCAACATGAAAATGTCACCACCTGCCATTTGTAACAGATGCTGACAGCCGAACACTTTCCACAAAAAAGTTGGAAACCATAACAATATGTCACCACTTCTGGCAGTGACATGATAAACGCAACCATAAATAATGAATTATTCTGTATTCTTTTCAAAATTGTCAAACAAAACATTCTCAATTTACAGTAAGTGTGTTGCTACACTACACTGTACTTACCTCATTGAGGCTCATCCAGCCAGTAACATGTTCTCAATTTACAGTAAGTGTGTTGCTATACTACACTGTACTTACCTCATTGAGGCTCATACAGCCAGTAACATGTTCTCAATTTACAGTAAGTGTGTTGCTACACTACACTGTACTTACCTTATTGAGGCTCATACAGCCAGTAAACTGTTCTCAATTTACAATAAGTGTGTTGCTACACCACACTGTACTTACCTCATGGAGGCTCATACAGCCAGTAAAATGTTCTCAATTTACAGTAAGTGTGTTGCTATACTACACTGTACTTACCTCATTGAGGCTCATACAGCAAGTAACATGTTCTCAATTTACAGTAAGTGTGTTGCTACACTACACTGTACTTACCTCATTGAGGTTCATACAGCCAGTAACAGGTTCTCAATTTACAGTAAGTGTGTTGCTACACTGCACTGTATTTACCTCATTGAGGTTCATACAGCCAGTAACATGTTCTTAATTTACAGTAAGTATGTTGCGACACTAAACTGTACTTACCTCATTGAGGCTCATACAGCCAGTTACACGATTTTGTTGGTCAACCCAAGCATGCTGAACTGGGGGATACACTGACACCATTGGCCTTATCTGTGGAAACTGTGGAGGAAGAGTGCTACAAGAAAGTAAAATAGTTTATTATTTCCATGCTGTTAATACCTTTTTGACCAGTTTAACTGTTTGCTTAAAAACAAGTAGAAATTCTTAGGTATGATTAAATATGGTTGGAAAAATTGCATTTGCTGTCTCTTAAATTGAACACAAGGGTAAAAAATATACAAATACTGAATGATGTGGAGTTGGATATTTTTATACATTTATAAAGGTATATTCGATGATGTATGGATGATGAATTGAAATCTGAGTTATGAATGGATGGAGGATTTTTTGGGAATTATTTCAAGATAATCTTCAAAATATGGATACTGGTAATAATTTTGCAAAAATATGGAAATAATATTATTTATATTTTATTCAGACTCTCTGATGACAATACACAAAATTGAACTACATGTAAGATTAGACTAGTGAATACAAAGATACAAAATCACAAGATGTAAAACGTAAGAATACAAGATAATTGTAAAAAACAAGACATGACAGACATTTTAAAATTATCAGTGTGATATATCATTTTCACAATATTAATCCATTTTTGAGTGAATGATAAATGAACTTTGCAAAATGTAAAATTTTGAGACATCAGTTTTAAATAAAAATAAAGTCAGCACTGCCTATTTTATATGTCAAATAGGCAATTTTATTATGTCTGTGAATGGGACACTTGTCATCATCAATCTACACTGTCAGTCTTGCCTTAGATGAATGACGAACAATCGTTTAACTTACATGTTCAGTGAGATACTAGTAGTTCCACCAAGAGTCAAATTTACTCTGTACTCTTCATCTCTTCGGATCTCAGTAACACTGGAAATAAAACCCCATAAATTCATCAACTGATTAAAATTTTTCATTTGTTCAAATTTTAAATATGAACGAATAGTAAACATATATATGGATGCACTGAACTCAGAGGCATTTTTTCATGATTTCCATTCTCTAAGCTTAGAGGAGAAATGGTTCTGTCATTGTACTGCTAGTTATCATATGTAAAAATTTGTAGTACATGTATTACTATTTAGTTTTATATTCATAAGGTAAATAATTCTAGTTTCAACTGAGGTCAGAATGTATCTTGGCTATTAACATAAGAATGAGGGTGCAATAATTTGGACTAGTTAGCTTAACCAGTTAACCAGCCTTCTTTATCAATCTGTGTTGTCTTGTTGAAACATATACAGCTGCTGGCTAAAGGTCTACATGTATGCTTAGACCTTTGCTATTTGAAAATCATACTTAGTTTTAAGTTTCATAGACAAACCATCACTTGAAAATGAATCAACAATCTGATTTTAGTTCATGATCGTCTAATTGGCATATAGCTTCCAAAAGTAGATTATAGAATCATTACATAGTGCCCCTATATCTAAGAATATCAGAATCATTAAAATAATCCTGGATCAACAACAGAGTTTATTCTCCTGAACAACTGGCTGGATCGAGGGCAATCTTTTGCCTGTACGATTACAACTTTAATTGCGTGATATATACACATATTTTGTACCAAATGCGTGACATAAACGGCAATCGCGTGCAAAAACCGAACAGAATGTGTTCGATTTTTTCGCTGTTGGTATTTTACCGTTTCGGCATTTCACAAAAAGACGATTTTGAAAATATCAACAAAATGCGTGATTTGCGTGATATTTGATCATTACACGCTAAATTGATGCGTGATTTCTATTTTTCTAGCAAATGGGTGACAATCACGCCTAATACGTGAGTGTTATCATCATTATGTAACATAAAGCAGCGGACAACTAATAATGTTTATATCATCAATTTAATTTCATGACGTGTACCTCAATGTAATGTGAATTACTAAAAAAACAAAAACAAGGCTGAATAATTTTGACGCATATTTCTAAGACAACTTACTTCTGATTGAACGATTTTAGGGTTGCAATTTGCCTTGCTCGCTGTGTCTGGAGTGCAGTTGGAGCAGGTACATTACTTTTCGTTTTCGAAAAGAACCAAGACGTCATTGTGATAATATCTATGCGAAAATTTGTCAAATTTCGAAAAAATGATTCATAAATTATACCGGAAGTGTGAGGTACGTCATCGAAAAGTGCGTAAGAGTAGCCGCGCGTGCGCATAGTAAGTGAGCCAGAAAAATCCACAAAGAAATTCAAACCTGCCACTTTATTTAAAAAAACTGCATTACTGGGAGTTTTGATCGATTTCGTGATTCAGCGCAGTTATAAGGTAGCTATTTATTCTCAATATCACCACAAACTAAACTCTTATAGACCTCATTATGATTCTTAAAATTGTTTCTGAAAAAGCAGGACATGTTTTTACAGAAAATCACAAAACATGAAAAATTGAAAAACATGACAATGAGCATTTGTTTTTATCCACAACAATACAGTGACTTAGCCAAGAAGAATAATCAACGATTAGAAAAATATTTGCAAACCTGTAAAAAAGCTATGAGGCAAGCGCCTCGTCTGCCTCATCCTGGCTACTCTACAACATTTCGATTTATCAGTGCGGTGATTTATCATTCTCGGGCGGTATTCCTCTACAAATCCGTGGCATCGGGTGAAAATGTTGGTTATTGTCATGTTAGACTCTACAATTATATCACAGTATCACAATGTGTCTATTGGCTCTAATTGGAAGTTTCAATCAAAAAAAAACATAGAACAAAGATTTATTGAAGTTTGACAATGCCCCATGTCTGAGAATGCCCCTATGTATTCAGATTCCTATGTAACTCAGTCAGGAATACAAATGTAAATTATGCCTCGGATATAGTTTTATAGTGGTGATACCAAATAATAAAGGTGGGTTTTCAAACCAAACAGAGTGCTCCTACCAAAAAGGATTTGCCTATATACCCCTGAGACTCTTATCTGATTGATAGAATGCACAAATAAAACAAAAGTTTTGCTATTATAGGTAAAAAAGTTCTCTTAAGCTTTTCTCCATCTAAAATGTCACTCGACTTTTTTGTGATTATGAGTCAAAGAAAGCATTCTTGAGTTTCAAATTGACTTCTGTGGTAACTTGAAACCATCTTCTAATTTATTCCACTTACCTTTTATTGTTTCTCCAAATATATTCTTTGAAAATCGGATTTTAAGATTGTTAATCAGGGTAATTCTGTGCCATTTTATCAAAAATCTTCTTGCTATTTAGAAACGAGCAATTGTGATCTTGTTGTTACCTAGGAACGAGCAACTGTGATGTCACATCACACTCATGTTAATTCTGGAATCACATGGCAGCCATTTTGGAAATTTCAAAAAAGTTCCCAATTAAAAAGGCTAAATGCTGTTTACAAATTGGAAACTATGGCAGAATCAACAAAGGGTTTGTGAAATAATTAGGATATGCTTTCAAAATTATGCACATGACAATATAGGACTACTAAATGCAGGCAGGGACTTTTAATTGCCAAAAAGTCGAGTGACATTTTAGATGGAGAAAAGCTTATTTCACTAAATCACTAGAAAAAAATATGGCACACACCGTGCGCATGGGCACTAAAGTTAAAACCAATCAGATTATTCAATTATTTTGCGCAAATGAATGATTTGCTTCTTAGCTAGTGCTTGCAATGGTAATGGATCTCACTGCCGGTAAATTTCACCTCCATTACCTTACCGTTACCGATAAATCGTTGATATTGATAGTGTTTCTAAAATCCCGGGAAAACCTGAAAGTGAAACTAAAATATTTGGAAAAATCCTTAACGAAGCCGATTTCTCAGCTTGATTTCCCGCTTACATCAACTGCAGTAGATATATTGTATCATTGTGTATCTCGTGTGTGATTGTGTAATGTTAGGAAGTCTTTGAAACGATTTTAAAGAGTGAATTCGATCAAAATTGATCAAACTATTTGTGTTTGTTTTTTACTTTGCCGAAATCTCACGTCACATGATGATTTGTAAATCTTTTACGAATGCTGTGCAGTTGATTGACAGATTAGCTCTTCAAATGTGGAGATTGAAATATACATGATAAAACATTCTAAACGAACATTGTTTCGTAAATATGACATTGGATCGCAATGCCAATCATCATGTTGCAGCAGCATGGCGATTATCGGCAATGGATTTTATTGCCGGCAATTGAGAGTATCTACTGCCGCTGCCGACAACCCGGCATTACCGTAAGACACTATTCTGAGCACTAACCATTTGAAGCTAACCACAATAAACAAACCTGGCGGAGATTACACTTACTTCATTTTAACAAAATTTCAGCTCAAACTCGTGACAAATGCATTATGCATACGCTGGTATGAAGCCTTGGAGACAATCATTTTGGTAAATATGACTTACGGTATATAACAATGAACAATGAGTCCATCCGTTGCAAATTACATGCTCACACGTTTTCAACAAAAGCAGTTCATCCAAGTGCACTTAAACCACTACTTAACGCTTTGGCAACCTTGTCATCTGCTTGCATGTGTCAACCGTGCCGGCTTGTTGCTAGTGCACCACAGGAGTTTGATTGCAATAAACCGTGATGTCTTTCAAAATAGTGTTATTCATGTGCGGAAAATATCAAATAATCTGATGGTTTAAACTCACATTCACCCATGTTTACGGCAGTAACGTTAAAGATAGTGAACCGAATGCAGAATTAACAGGTGAAATCAAATCACATCCTGTGATGATAGATTCGTCTATATGCATTTATTACAGGTCGTTTAGACTTCCACTTCTTGATTTATATCAAAAAGATTGACTTTTGCACTCTTCTGAAGTTGCACCTTTTAAAATAGATCTCATACCTTAAACGTGTATCATTAACAAAAAATCATAAAATACCTTTATATTTCAACATAACTTGCATCTGTTAATTTATTCATAAACTTTCTTATGAAAAATTCAAACATGACCGTGCTCTATTTGAATTTCTCAACCAATCAGAATGCAGCATAGCCAATATAGAACGTTCTCTAATTCTCCATAGATGCACGGCCATGCTCTATTCAATCTGCAATTTGCATTGTTTTGAGTGACGTCATCTCAGCTGCACATCTGGGGCTCTGTCCAGGGATAGCTGTTCTTTTTTACTCCCTCCGTAACTACTGCAACTATTTTATCAACACCCCATGTTTCATACACCGTATAAAATCTAAAACGGGGAGTAAAATAGAACAGCCCAAACAAATTCTAAAATTTTTCCGGCCGACTTCAGAATCTTGATAGCATGCGTATTCTTCCTTCATGCCCGTTCCACAGACACGGCTTTTACTAATTTTTATGTTTGAATCGGAATAAATAATGATAGGCCATTCAATATGGTGAAATTCAGCACTCGTTGGACAGAATGTTAGTACAAATGCACTCACCTTCGGTTCGTGCTTTGTACAACATTCTGTCCAACTCGTGCTGAATTTCACCATATTGAATGGCCTATCATTATTTATTCCTTAAATAAATCATGCAGATTAGTTAAATTTTCTAAATTTTTCAGATTACCAGTTGAGAGATATATAGGTTATAAATAGGTTAAATTTTGTAGTTTCTTGAGAAACTGGTTATTTGTGGCATGAGAAATGGTTTATTTAAATGTGGGACTAGGTCTTGCTATTTTGTTTGTATTAGGCCGGAATAAATAATTCTGTATCATTCGTTATTGGAATTTTAAAAGCATGAGTGTATGCACAACCTGTACACCTTTATGCATGAGGGTGGAGCCCGAGTACATTATCGAGATTCATTAGTACCTGTATGAATGCTTATAAAACCAATAAGTAATGATACAATGCAATTCAAATGTACTATCACTCTTTATAAAAATGAGTCCAGTTCTTTTTGAAACCATGATGCACGTGATGACATCAGGTTCAATATTTGTGTGGCATTGTATTTTCAATATATTTTAACGTTGAGTGTGTGGTATTCATATATTTTCAGGTTGAATGTTTGCGTGTGGGATTATACTTAGGAACTGGAAGGCAAGACCACAAAGCTATTTCTGCAGTGGTTACGACTGGTTACTGAGAGCCTAGATGTAACCAACACTCATCTGAAACTTTCCCCAATGAAAATGCCTTCAGCGTACAATGATTATGGGATAAAGGACATATGGGCGAGCAATCTGGAGGAAGAGTTCAAAAGTATAAGGCAGCTGATCAACAAGTATAGCTATGTGGCGATGGTAGGAAAATTACTTAAAAGTCCATTAGAGTTTAAGGATCCATAGTTAAAAGCATACAGTTCCGGTTTAGTTCTATGAAAGCAGAAATAGTCTACAAATCTGAAAATATGGATAGGCCTGGTGCACATATTTTGACGAAATAATAATTTTCCCATGTCTTATATGTACATTTACTTTGATATACACATTAATGATACACTGTTTATCATTCCTTTCAGGACACAGAATTTCCGGGAGTTGTGGCAAGACCGATTGGAGAATTCAAAAGTACAGCGGATTATCAGTATCAAATGTTACGATGTAACGTGGACTTATTAAAAATTATCCAAATTGGATTTACATTTCTGGATGAAGAAGGGAATCATGTGAAACCACATCAGACGTATCAGTTCAACTTCAAATTTAACCTCACGTGAGTACATTTGGTCTTCATATTATTTTCTCATATGATTAACCAAGATGCAGCCATCTTTATTTTTTACCCCATGCAAGATATGCCACCTTTCATCCTAAAAAGTCACATGTGCAAGATGAGATTTACTTATGACTTCACTGGTTTATAAGCAAAATGGTAATCAATGCTTTTCTACATAATTAGTTGTGATGTTATTATAATGGAGCTTTGTTGCCATGCAAACATGCATTTTCTGCGATAGGGGGTCCTTGAGATAAAGAGAGTAAGTTCCATTAATTTGAAGAGGTTTTACACTCACGTTTTTCATAAAAAAGTTGAAAATATGGCATAATACAGAGTCACATGACAAAAACCTTCTTGTACTCGTATCTGTGCAAGAAGTCCGATAAAGCTCAACAAGAATGGGCGATCTTGCAACTTGCATACTCATAATAGAACCTCTGTCTTCCATGGTTAGCCGTATGGAGAATTGTTTTTCCATTTGTCCACCAAAAAAGTTTATTTGACAATTTCATGAAAAGGACACTCACAAAAATGCACAAAAATACCTTACACACATCTAGGTTTGGATAATTTTAACTAACATGTATCAAAGTCTGAATTTGATTTTTTGATTTTTTAATTCCAGTGAGGATATGTATGCCCAAGATTCCATAGACTTACTACAAAACTCAGGCATACAGTTTAAACGTCATGAAGATGATGGTATCGACCCTGTCCACTTTGCGGAACTTTTGATGACATCAGGTGTTGTTCTTAGTGAGCAAGTCAAGTGGCTTTCATTTCACAGGTAATATAGATGGTGCCATATGTAAATGATACTGGGCTTCTGGATAGGCAGGTGGCAGCTGCATGAATCCTGTCATTAACATTGCTGGCCAAGGCTATTTTGGAGGTTTTCTGCTGGTGACTGGCCATTTTGATGAAAATTGATCAAAATGCCATGTTTTCATATCAGCATTTTAATGGACTGTATCAACACCCTCTTTGCTATGTTTGATACCATTGTGAACAGCAATGACAATATGATAACAATATATTTCACCCAAACGGTATTCCCCATGTGACCCCTACAATATCTCGTAAAAGAATATTGGTACAAAATTGTATGACACTTATTGTACAGGTACGATAATGACGCCTAAACAAGATATATACAAACATGATTTCATAGTTTTCACCCTCTATATGTTGACCTTTTTTCTCTCATTGCAACTCTGAATATTCCAGTCATCACACTTTGGGTATTAGGATTTTTCTATCACTCGCAAAGTGGCAATCGACTTGTGTTTTCACACTCCCCAATGAAAAATTACACTCGTCACAGTGTTGCCACTGATGATATGTATACTCACAGTTTTGTTGTGAATAAAAATCTTTAAAAAGAAAGTAATTTGATTATGAAAGTACTTGAAATTGACTTTGTTATATAATTAACAATCGTGAATTTCATGTTTTTCATGTTCGAAAATGTGGCAAGGCATTTCAATTTTACACTCAACTCTAATATTTACATCCGCCTGGGGCTACTGTCGAGCAGATATGACCCACACTGCATTAGAGCCAAGTGACATTGCCAAGTGTATTCTTATAATGTATTGATTATAAAAATAGAGTATAAACCTAAAAAAACTTTTCAATTTCACGTGTGCATTTGTAAATTGAACTTCATTTTTCAGTGGTTATGACTTCGGGTACATGTTGAAAATATTGACCAATACAAATCTACCTACAGAGGAGCAAGAATTCTTTGAGTTGCTACGGATATATTTTCCAAACATATATGACGTAAAGTACCTGATGAAAAGCACTAAAAATCTCAAGGGAGGACTACAGGAAGTTGGCGAACAACTAGAGGTGAGTTTTGGTGAAATACCATGGATTGCTAAATTGGGTAGTGCCAGATCTAGCGAGCAATCTAAACAAGAAATTGTCACAGTTTTAAAGACGTATACCGCCGTATTTACATAAGGGGATTAGAAGGGTTTATTTTTTATTTAGGTATGCAAGCTATATAAAATTAGGCATTCTAGCATGCATGTACTCGTGTGTACAATCAGCATGCCCTTCAATATTACAGGGTGACCCAAAAAAATGCAACCCTCCATTTCATCAATATTTTTCTTAAATGGAGGTAAATTGCTCTGAGATTTGGCACACAAGGACTTCATTCAATGTGGGATCCTCTGGCAAAGTTTTAATAATCATAGTCTTATATTGATAGAGTTATGGTTGTTTCAAAATATGCTCCAGATGTCGTCAATTTCGCTGAAAACAAACTTGCAATGTTCAAGGAAAACTGTTCATAAAACGGATGCATTCTTCCCCATGGGTATGGATCAAATTTTTGCAGCCATTGCTTGTTGGAGTTCTGCAATTGCGGTAGGGTTATTTTCATACACATTATCCTTTAAAGATGTCATTTTAAAAGCAAAAAAGGCTCCAAAACGTAATAAAATATGTAGTTTGGATGTTCATTTATGTCTGTGGATTATATTTTATACCACAAACACTTATAAATACCTGAAATTTGCAATAAAAGTGCCCAAAAATTGTTGTTTCGAAATTCCCCATTTTTCCTGTATCGCGCTAGTCACGTGACCCTTACGCGTAGCAGGCAATGCCTAGTATTACAGATATTACAGTACATATTTCAACATGTTCAATATGGCAAACATCAGCGATTCTGACTCCCGGGTTCTGGGAAATGGCTATATATAAATCGGCGAGAGGGTGTTATTTAAGGAGGACAATTTAAGGAGGGGAAATATGTCCAAGTATGCCAGTAAAAGAGCAGATATGGACTTTAGACAAGTACTATGACGGAGAATCAACTAAAAAAATGTGCGTTCTGGAATGAAGACCCGTTGCCATTGACTGAGAATCCCAGCGATCCTATAATCCTACTCAGTTTGAATTTAGACGCGGAAAACAGGTTATGAAAACGGGCTCTCTGCAAAGTTATCAAATTTAGAAAATATGGATCTTGTTTTTGAGTGGCTTAACAAGCATTCGGATACAAGACTTGGCGCTATCTCTTGTCAAATACACGCAGACTTGCAGTAAATTGGCCATTGCAAATTGCAAAATCAGATCGTCAAATTAATCGCTTCGTTTTTAAACGTATGCTTCATATCTTCATCCAAAACTTTAGGATTCGATAGAGATAAGTTAAAACTTGTACAGGAAGAAATGGGAGATCCTACCTTAATTTAGAATCGCTGATTTCTCTGGACAAATTCCGAGAAGAAATTGTTCAACATCGCGATCAGCTCAGACTAAACTTACATGTCGTGCATGTCACTCTGAACTCACGTGATAAAATACGGCATTTTGATTGGTTACTACTCGTGTTGTCATGACGCGAAAAACAATAGTAAACACTGAATATGTTAATGAACTGTCATATATGGAGCAATTGTCTTTCTGATTGGTTAACTTTACACGCCTCCTAAATGAATATAGTAGTCGTAGTAAATGATTCATTGATAACTCTGAAAGTGGGCGTGACCAGCTTTATTTTGACACCAAATTCAAGATGTTTCAAATAAAAATGGCCTCGCAAGACGAGGTTGAAATATCGGCAGTTTGATACTGATATGGTCTACGATAGATCAAAATTGACTGCCCCGCGTCATATGTCACGTGAGCCTATATTTGTTGAAAAATGAAAGAGATAGTGACACTTTTTAATCTTAAGTTAATACCAATATTACAAACACATATCTATTTTTTTCATTAAATATTTATTTCTTCATTATACATTTGTTTTACACTGCATTGATTTATTTTTGCAAAACCTTTGCTATTAGATCTTTAAATAACCCCATATATAGAAGTCAGTGGCATTGAGATCAAGTCTGTGGGATGACCATGGGTTCTCCGTCCTAGGAGAGATAATCTTCTCATAGAAATGACTAGTGAGCCAGGCTATGCTATCATTAGAAGTGTGAGGAGTAGCTCCATCCTTCTAGAACTACTGTTCTTGTCTATTGAAGCCTCTATGTCACTCTAGAACTTCCTGGGAACACCAATATTGCGTTGTGTGTTAACAGTAACAGCATTGCCATTATCAACCTCAAACCAAAAGGGGCTGATGATTTCATGTTTGGAAATTGGCAGCTCAAGCTGTGCATTTAACAGAATGAAGGGGCCTTTGAAGCACTTCATCTGGAATTTGTGATCCCAGAACACATTATTTCTTGAGTTTACATGTTCTGAAAGAAGGGAATGTGATTCATCCGAAAACCTAACATTGGAAATGGACGACATTTGGAGCATATTTTGGAACGACCATAACTCTATAAATATAAGACTATGATTATTGAAACTTTGCCACATTGAATGAAGTCCTTGTGTGCCAAATTTCAGAGCAATTAAACTCAATTTAAGAAAAATATTGAAGAAATGAAGGGTTGCATTTTTTTGGGGTCACCCTGTATATAAACACGGTGTTACTATACCAGGCTATTCAATATGTACTACATAATGTACACTATTTATGTGTGTACTACATAGGGATACGATTCTCGGGGAAACAAAAGACAAATACTTTATATATGTCCAAAATGAGCCATTTGATTGATATATACACTAAATAGTTTTATAAATAACATCTACAAAGTATATCTAATAGTAATTTTCAATTTCAATGGTGAAACTTCCCTGGTTACGATAATAAGGGAAATCATCACGAGACGAAGATCGTTCGCCTTCCTGGCTTACCTCTGAATCGTGTACCTGGTAATCTCTTTATATAGTTTAGCGAGAACGCTGCGCCTGCGCAGTATTAAACTTTGGCGCACACTTTAAATATTTTTGGCTCACATCGTTCCTTTTCATATCTATTTTCTAAAAATCCCCATAGCGCTAAAGATAAAAACTAACGATTTTTCGATAACATTTATAATTTTAGCATTTTCTCGCATTTGTGGCAAATTGAGTACATCGATTCTTAAATATTTTCACCACTTGATTTCATAGTGGTGATTTTTGGGAGATATATATTTGAGATAGTCGAGAATACATTGGTTGGTCAATTGTACACGTTGCTTGCAATTTTGTCACCCCCACAGCTCTGATTCTGCCCAAATTATATGGATTGTAAATACTATGGCAATTCGGTAAAACCTGTCTTAGTGAACACCTCTCTAGTGAATACCTCCTGTCAGCTCATACACTGACTTCTGTGTAAAATTGCCTCTCTGTAGTGACTACCTATAGTGAACACATTTTTTAGGGTCCATATGTGTTCACTATTCACAGGTTTTACTGTAATTTCCTTTTACTTTATAATAGAATGGGTGACACATAAAATGTATAGAATGTCAAGATAGAGTTTGAATTGCTCTGGGTGTGCCTGTATAACACAGCAATACAATAGAAATACAGTAGAAAAATTAGGCTTTGAAGTTTTGTTACATCATCAAAGTTTTATCATGGTTTATTTTCTGCGGCATGGACCTTCTTTCTAATGTAGTTAAAATTAGTCAAAGGAAGATGTACTAAACACAATTTGCTGTTTTCAGTTGCATGAACCTCTATTCTCGCATTACAGTAAATGTACATATTAAAATATTGTCTGTAATATTGTCTGTAATAGTATATTGCTTGTTATGTCACCAATGTATTGTAGTACACTATATAGTCTCCAAAATTTTTGTGACAGCGTCTGGGAGTTTGAGTTCGATGTTTGGTATCTGTAACAAATAGAAGGTGGTGACATTTTGCATCTAAATGACTTGTATCTGATTTATGATGTTAGCCAATGTACAGTACAACCTGTATATAGTGAACACCTATGGAGCCACAAAAAATGTTCACTATAGAATGGTGTTCACTTCAGAAAGGGGATTTTATACAGGAGTCAATGTAAAATTGCCTTGAAGTGGTGTTCACTAAACACAGGTGTTCACTAGAGAGAGGTGTTCACTAAGACAGGTTTCACTGTACCTGTTAACATACACTTTGCAAATACATTTACATTGACATGTTTCAGATTGAAAGGCAAGGTCCACAGCATCAAGCAGGAAGTGATAGTTTACTAACTGGGAATGCTTTCTTCAAGATGAGAGAAGTAAGAAAATTTGATATATAGTGCAATGCAACCTTTCTAATACTGACCAAATGTGTTGATTAGTATCTGTTCAAATATAACGGTTCTATACAAAGGGTTACAACAGTACAATGTTTTATAGAGGTTTTTCTCAAGTTGACGCAAAATTCTTTGATCATAGGCCTGGGTACATGTATAAAAAATCAAGTGGTATTTGACTTGATTTTTAAACATGTTCCAGGGTCTATGTCTTTGATATACTTCTCAGACAACAGGTTCGAAAATCAACAAAGACTTTGACCTGCAAATTTTTATTTGATTTTCAGATGTTTTTCGAAGATAATATCGATGATGCAAAGTATTGTGGCCATCTATATGGATTAGGGACATCTTATGTTCAGAATGGGAACTCATGTGAAGTGATCAATCAAAGTTCTGCATATGCTGGACCTGGAAAAACCAATTCCCATACTCCTACTCCTACGCCGAATAGCTCTGACACCCCAAATTCCTCAACGCCTGTTCCATCATCAAGTTGACCCGAAAGAGAACCATGAGCTGTATATGTGGATAATCATTGAATATGTCCATTTAGTTTAAAGTATAACAGAGTATGCAACCATCAATCAATTACACTACAGAATTTTTAATCCGTCTGCTTTTCTATTCACTCCTGATTATATACATGAGCTACCAGATGTGCAAGGAGCCACCACAAAGAAATTTGGATTTGGAGTAATACTTGAAGGAATATGGATCATGTAAGCATTTATATTAATAAGTGTGCAGTTTTACAGAGCTTGAAGAAGCAGTCATTACTTTCAACATTGCAGTAAATAGACGCAGTTTGTTCATTTGGAACACACATCTTTTTGTGATTTTAACTTTTTATTATGCACTTTTGAAACTGTTTTGGTTTTTGAATGATGTGTATTTGTATAAAATGTTAAGATTAAGATTTTTCATTCAAACTCAATGTCAACAAGGAAAAAGCAAAGAAAAAATTATTGTTTGAATGTTTTAGCAATGCATTTTGTAATATTTGTTTGTTTGCATATCAAGCAAACTTCTCATTGACATACATTGTTTTGAAGTCTGGAATACAGTCTGCCCCCTTTTAGCTTTACATTTTATTTTAAGAACACCTCAAGTCTATTGAGAATAATACGCCTTATGATTATTGCCGTATGTAGCGCATTATTTTCATCCTTTAACAATATGTCATGTCTGATTGATATTTGATACATGGATGTCACTTGTGACAATTTGTTGTCAGCATTATACAACATACAGGTCGTTATTCAATCTGTTTTCATGACTCAAGTAAGGATCTAGGCTAAGGTAAATAAAGAAAATGTTTAGCATGTCCAAAACATTAAGTGGAAGATGACCCATGATTTTAGCATTTTCAACAGCTTTGAAAGAAATGCATATTGCACAGGATATAATTAGCCAGTTTAAATAACTAATTGGCCTTTGTTCTTTTACAAAAAAACAAAAATATGTTAAACATATTTTGATTACTCTAGCCTCATTTCTAATCTAGCAACTTGTGGTTGTGTATTGTAAAATACGATGAAGTGCAATATAGGTGGGAAATATGAACATATAGCTCCACCATGAATACTGTATTTATAATGCGATAATGGCCATTTCATATTCTGGTACAAGCCCTAGGGACTGGGCCAAATATGTGTCATTTAATACTCAAGTAATTCTGTTTGAGAGTGTATCAAAGGCACGCTAATTAAAATGAAAAACATTTGTAACGTTGATGTTCTAAAGGTTGTTTGTCAAACAGTAAACATAGGGATGGATCTCATCCCATATGGGTTATTATTGCAAAAATAGACTTTTTGAACTGCTCCCTTAGCTGTCTGAATGAAGAGTGAACTACCCTTGGATTATTTGCATTGTCTACAGCTTGGACTTAGAATTAGATGACAGTCCTACCTAAAAAGTTTTAGTTAAGAATATGTAAAGTAAAACGTGTTTAAGTCGCACATCAGTTAAATCAGCCAAAATTGTAAGTGACAGAAAGATATTTTTACATGTAAACCAATGCCTGCTGCACTGGAGTCTTTTTATTTTTTGAAAATACCTGTTTCCATTTAAATATCAACTGGTGTTGAATATGTTACTGTTAATAGACTTACTTTTTAACATGTTGGTAAACTAAAGGAAATCCAAATCTTTACATTTTATATAAGTACAGTATGTGATCTGAAAAAAACTCAAGGTTTTGTCCTGATACAGAGTTGTAAATCTGTTATGTTTTAAAATTCTCACTATTTATAATTTGAATTATCCAACTGCGGAATGAATCACACTCATCATGTGCCAAAATTGCATACACTGTCTTATTTAAACAATATGGACATATTAATGTATTATAATTTATGGACAACTTGTTAGAATAATCTTTCTTTTAGGGAGTCTGTATAAAAATGATTTTAATTCACAATACTGGCTAAATGGAACATGGGGGTCAGAGTTAAAGTAATACTGTATAGTCTGAATATTGAAAATCACTTCAAATTTAAGCATGAGGTCAGGGGTGCATTACCTTAAATGAAATGCATATTCACAAGTTTTAGGTAGGATGACCAGAATTCAATGCTCCTTTAAAGACTGGTATTTTACTGAAACTGATAGGAAAAACATCAAAAATAGCCATCCACTAACATAGTCTTTTTTTAATTATATCGCTCACTTCTTAAGCAAAGTGTTTTGCAAATAAAACTGGATTGAATATGCATGTAACCTTGGAGAAAAACTATGGAAATACAACCCTGACTTCATACTTCATTCTACTTCAATAAATAACATGGATGTACAATTTTCTAGACAATGTGTATTACATTGTCCCCCTTGAGGGGACAATTTTGTCGAGGAAGTGAAAAGGGTGTATTTAATGTACATGTATCTTTTCTCTGATATGTATAACTGACCTTCTCTTACCCCTGTATTTTATTAAAGCTTATGAATGACATATTTTACTGCAAGTCAAAGCCTCAGATAAATCAATCTAGATATGTCGATGTATTTTAGTACAGTTACAATAGAGGTTCATAGCAGAGTGATATTTCATGAGACATACTCTAATTTATAGAACTTCCTCCAAAGTAAATGTTAATAAACGAACTAATTAATCATGACTTAATTTATAATAAAGAATTCATGAATTTTTGATGAATGTTTGGAGGGCCATTTTAAGGTACAAAAAAATCTGATGAAGCATTTATATTCTTATGTCAGATTTTGGAGATTTGTAATATGTATTTATTATAAAAGACAAGTTTGCTATAAAGTTATGAATGAAAGATCATTTATGTAAAATGTTCCTTCATTTAGAGTGATTTTGTATAGCTGTACTTAAATCTCATTTCACTTTTCTACTCATGTTAGGTTAAAAAATGTGTGAAAATTTTTGTTAAATTACAATATATTAGTTTTCTCCCCAGATTTGAAGTGGCCGCTGCACCCACTTGAGATTTTAATAATATGCTTGCAACCACCCAAAAATCAGTTTGCACCCACTTGAAATTGAGAAAAATCATGGAATCAAGTTGTGAGGAATTTTGCACCGACTTGATAAGAAATCCTTGAGAGAACACTGAATATTAACATCTAGTCTGATTGTACTTCAATTTCTTCATTTTTAATGTTTTCACATCTGAAATGTAAATCACTCATTCAACCAACTACTACAGCTGATATTATCTCTTATATGTAGTTGATAGCTACATTTTACCATCGTTGTAGAATCTGTATGCTTTTTCATTGGTTCATATAACTACATGTAATTGTGCTGAACAAAAATTTTTATAATGGCCTGGTCAAATATCAATGTTAAATTTTGATGAAATGAATGTGAAAACATAACTTTCATTTTTTATATTGTACAAAAAAATAGGAAGGGGTGTAATCATTTTTGTTATCCAGTATCTGTTTTTACAAAGGATATTGATATCTTGAGCTTATCTCTTAAAAGACAGAAAATGTGATTTTGTCTATCATATCGTTGAAGGTATCGCTGAAGGTATCCTTATGATTTTGTCTTCATAACACACACATTATTTGGTCTATGTTAGAAATATCTGTACACAGGCTTTAGTCAAGCAATGTGGTCTGTTACATTAGAACTTCATCTGAAGTTTTATTTTAGTTAAAATGGTGTTAATGGGTTTTATCATAAAATGATTGTAATATGTTAGTATTTCACAACTGAAAGTTGCTTTTGTTGTGCCAAATGATAAATGTCTTGGAATAATTTTGGTGTTAAGGGTTATATTCAGTATGAGATAATCTTACTGCTGTATAGTGATGTTTGATTGAGAAATCTAAACGAGGCAAGAAAATATTACTAACTGGTTGCATTTAAAAATGTGTGTAACAATTGTTACACGCACTGAATGATTGTCACGAAAATGATGGTTAGGTGGCTAAGAAAGTTTTAAATTTTTCTCCAGATGATTGTTTACACCAATTATATGTGGTTTTATGAACTGAATTTTAAAAGCATGCACATGAATGTCCATTTTCATGTTTTGATGTATCGTTTCACCCCTTTCAATTGAACTCTTCTAAATAGCATTCTAAGGGGTGTTAAGATGATGGAATGGCCCTCCACGTTTCATTTCTTTTAATATGAATTATATTTGGAGAAAGTTGTGTACTTTGGAAGTTGTCTCATGTTTTATGATGTGTAAATAATATGAACAACTGAATAAAAATATACTGCATAGAATTTCTTTGATTTGTGTTTGAAATTATTGTTAAAGGGTGACGCATATCGTTTAGCAAATCGAACGCTCGTTTCTGGTGTTGCTCACCATTTAGTATAAAAGGCTCGATCCCGGAATAATACTCAAGGGTTCAAAGGCTCGAGGTCGTTGTGTCAACACCTCTAACTTTTATATAACATTGGTACAGTTAAGATCGTCACATTCATCGCTAACATTTCAGGATCATCTATTTGTTTTTATACGGGACGCTTATCGGAACCCTTTAAATGCCTGGATTCATGAAAAAATCCAGTCGCCCTGCAGTTTTTTGTAGCAACAGCCTGTCCATGACTATCAAGACCGGAAGGGATCGAACACCGCTACTGACAATCCTGTGGTGAAAAATAGTTCAATGTGAATTGACTTTGAATAGCAAATACGATATATATGTACCCCCTTAAAAATTTCTCGAGCAGACAAAAGCTTGTGGTCAATTTTTTGTATTCGTTTACTCTAAAATTGCTCGGGTCACATAGTGATTATATGGAATCTACTAGGCGTTCGTTCGTCCGTGGTTGGCCCGTCCAACCTCTAAGTAGGCTTGAGGACGTTAATCGAAGTGCATGTCTCTGAGTCCATATTAATGTACCAACTCATTTATCCCGTGCCAGGACTATAGTCCTGCGAACGTCTTATTCTTTTGCCTGTACGATTACAACATGGGAGAATTTTCTACGCTTCTTACACTTAAAATACCTATTTCAATGGATTCCTTGGTATTTTAGCATTCTTTTCGTGAAGTTGAATCCACAATTGTCTCAACTCAAATTGTCTCAACTACACGAAAAGAATGCTAAAATACCAAGGAATCTATTGAAGTAGGTATCTTAAGTGTAAGGGGCGTAGATAATTTTCCCAAGTTGTAATAGTACAGGCAAAAGAATGCGCTCGTTACAGGACTATACGGGATAACCAACTCATATGCCAGCAGCTCATGCTTGTTAGGTCAGCATATTCACAAAACAAGACAAGCTGAACGTTGGTGCTTCGTCCGAGCGCATATACCGTCTGAGCCCAGGGGTCAGAGGTCCGACAAAGAATGAGACACTCTATGCAGACGGAGCCTGTGAGAAATATTGGGTGCGGCATAAATGAGTGGATGGTGCGGATTTAACTGTCATTTTGAATTTAAAGGATAGGTATCGATATGGCGAACTGAATTCAACATTGGTTTTCTCTTAAACCAAGATGAAAACGTTCTGTAAAAAACATGGTCCTTTATGTTATGGTCACTGATTGACAACAATTTAATGCGAACATATATTTAAATACGTATATTTTTTATAACTTTTTTTGTTAACATTTTTTTTAATTTTAGTGCAATTGTTTTTTGTTCCTTTCTACCAGATCTTGAGAATGAAATAAAATATCTTTCCAAAGCTTGTTGGAACAAAATAGCATATACAACATTTTCTTAGACCTCTCAATATTTTAGTTATACAAAGGAAAATAATTTGGTAGGTTTAACAAAAATTGTTCAAAAAATTCAAACAAAACCCCCCCAAAATAAATAAATTTCATTGACAGCATTCATTTATTTCATTCACAAGATGCTTTTTTTAAATCAACCAAATTGTCCTTTGTACAATTTCAATATTGAGAGACCTAAATCACGAGGGGGAAAGTCTACCCGCCTATACAACCAGAAGACAGATTGACCAGTAGAGATTAGGAACGTGAAACATATTCATTTTTATCCATGAATATGGATAATAATTGATTTAAATGCAATTCCGCGCTATTACTATCCTCAAAGATATCAGTACAACGGCTACCAAAATGAAAAATGATTGGCCAGTAGAGATTAGGATCGTGGAACATATTCATTTTATAATTGATTTCAATGCAATAGACTAGGTGCGTGTGGAAATTATCTTGATTTACGTCATTAAATATTCAAAATTCAGTCAACGTGATGTCATATTTGAAATCTGCATGTAAAGTACGTCTAGAAATATGGTTTCGAAAATTGTTTATCAACTTTGAAAATTTAATTTTTTTGAAATGTGACTTCTTGTTCGGGTTGATTCCCCATAGACCCCATGATACAAAATCACAAAAAGTGAAATATCTTTTCTTGTATTGGATAGATAACATTTTCTTTTACTGGACATATTTTAATTTGCATAACTATCAGATACATAAGGGTTATATGAAAATTGAACCATTAAAACAGATGTGATTTAAGTTAAAGGGATTTTTCTCCAAAACCCGCCATGCTACATGTATCTGACTCGAACGAGCCACCTGGTGGTGAATCTGGTAACTACCTACTTGCATCTGCGTTATTCCGCGCTATTTCTATCCTCCAGTGTTGATAGCTTAATTTCTACTGTGTCAGTCTGGTTCAAAATGTTACAATAGTATTAATAACGAGGAACCCTTCTAATAAAGGCAACTCGACGATATCATCGGATCTCAACAGATTTTACTCAAGTAGTCCGGATTCTGAGATCCTTTACTCAAGATATTTTCGGATCTTTATAATATTACTCATCGATCACATCGGGTCCGATGTCCGATAACATCGGATCTTTTAGGACAGGGTTTATGTGAAGATTTTGCTGTTCAAAGTGTTATTTTTACCTAATAATTTGACAATTAATATATTATACATATATGACATACATTTACCGGCCCAAGTATGTTAATTAAAGCGAGTACGAATGAGAAAAACAAATGGAATACCATCATACGTTTTACTTATCTCTTAATTTGGATATAAAAATTATATTTCAACTAAAATTCTGGGCCAATTCCGCCTGCTAGAACATCTTAGTAACGATTTAAACCATCCAAGGGAATTGATAGTGGCCTAATATTACCTTTGTTGTCCATTTTCCTATGGGATGTAGTTTACCATTGGATTTGCGGTATAAGCGTGTCTTACTCGGCGGTAGGTTGTATATAGGCGGGTAGACTTTCCCCCGTGTATTAGGGTTTTCATTTTTGGTACAGTTAGCTAAATATTGGCCCAGATTATTGATGAAGTCAATAAATCGCCAATTTGAATTGATATGCTAAATCAACTTTCAAAACAAACTACTTGCATTGACACTTTATAAATTTAGTAGAGCTTTATTATGATAAAAATTGTCTGAATACATTGTATTTTTCGTCTTTCCTTTAGTATATCCATACACATTTATACAATATATAGAGATGAAAATATAAAATCAAAGAAAACGATTGATACATGAGCACATATCCATATACAAAACATTTATACATGTTATAACAAATACAATGACGACAACAAATATTTTCAAATATATTCTGACAACCCAAGTGTTCTGAGTTCACTTATTTTATCAAACCTTGAGAGAGAGAGAGAATGGCAAAAAATAATTTTGCTGAAAAAGATGTTGCGTGGCCTGAAAATGTTAGGCCTTTTTCAGAATTTAGAAATATGCTTATCTTCAGAAAGTCAATTTTTCTAAAAAGAGGCATGTTCCTGATATTAAGACCCATAAGTCGAACGTCTAGGGATCTGTCACTCCTCAGCTGGTACCTTCTTAGCTTATATATAAATAAATGATGGAACTTTGTGCAAGAGACAAAAAAGCATGCTATAAGTGAATTGCAAAATTTCTCCAATTTCAACAGTCATCTTTTCGAGAAACTTTAGTGATTTAACTGTAGTTTAAAAATCAACCTACCGAGTGTATGTGGTAAAATGAGTAAACCTAGGATACTTGGGAAAAGTCACAATACTTTGGTTACTAAAACCCATTAATTTACTTTGAATATAAAAAACATCGATTTTCGGGAAAATCAATGACTAAACCTATTTACCAGTAAATATCTTTCTTTTTGGAAACTAACCAATAGTTCACTTGCAAAGGAAAAATAGTGTCAATCTTTACTTAAAAAATTCTAGACGAAATTATGAGATCTTGAAGGATCAACAATACATCTTGCACTAAAACTGCAATTAACAGAAATATGTACACATTTTCGATCCATACACAAGTGAGCTATTGAAAAGTTTTTATTTTACAAACTCACTTTTGAAAACGATATTGTTAAAGCAGAAGCAATGTTATGCAGTAGCAATATCCTGAGTATATACAATAAGTGTAGCATAATGCTAGAATTCTCTTCGGATATTTGATTTAATATTCATCTCGTAGATAGTAACCATGGTAGCAATAATCTTGAATATGATAAGTCAAATATGACATAGTAGGTACTAGGTACTCTCATGGAATGGGTTCAGGAATGGGTAGAGGCAATGTTCTGAAAAACATCAAATATTTCAATATTAATGAATATACTGTTTTGGCTTAAGTTAAATTAAGGAGTTGACCTATTTAATTACCCAAAGATAGGTCGGGCCAAAAATGTCCATATTTTTTATTCCGAAACTCATTTTTGTGTTTATAAAAATGTATGAATTTCGATAGAATTTCTACATAAATCAATTTGACAACGGTTCCTGAAATGAGAAAAATAAAATTTTAGTTTTTTTATGAGAAAGCTTATCCAATACTTGGGGTCTATTTAAAGAAATATACATTTTCCAGGATCATATTCGAATCAACGATTTCACAGTGACATTAGTTATGCTTCATATTTTAGTACCAAATTAACATATTATTTAATGCATCAGAGAAATACATGAGTATGATGCTCAGTATATTTTGGAAACATTAAATAAGTTCATAGTCTGGTAATATTAAATAATTTATTGGTGTTCATTGTCACAGACTTTATTACAAGTTTTCTTTTGTTTTAGACGTTTCGAATGCAAACTGCATCCATGATCACTAAATTTAAATTGAAAACAGTTGAAATGAATACAGGTAAATCTACTATTACGTCATTAAACTTTAACAACGTCAAAAATAATTAATTGCTATGGCAATATAACTTCATCCCATTATTTTGGAAACATTGCAAGGCAAAATGGAATGCCAGGAGTAACTTATCATGAGACAAATGAGTGAGATGAAGAGATGATGTAAAATAAAGAGTTTTTGCATTTTTGTGACAATATTGATATCCATGCATTTCAATTATTTGTATATAGATTTTATTTATTTTGATGGATTTACGATATATCATTTTACCTAGTTTTTAAATAATATCGAAGAGACCATCCTGACTTTGTGATGGAACCGTCCGTTGAGAACGTCATGTAGAATGACCTCCCTGTCGTTGTAAAAGGGCCGGGCAGCTTTACCCCACATAATGTACCGATTCGCCCGAATAATGCACTTGTACCATCATATATCTAAAGTGTTCGACAAAATAACATCAATTAATTTGATATTAGGATGTTCATAATCAAAACTCATGGTACCGATTAAATATAATGAACATCATTCTGTATATACCATTAGGCTGTCATAAGTACAACCAGATGTACTCTCAACATTAAAAGCCATAAAGACAATCGTCAATGGACCCCTCGGAGCAGTGACTGAGTATGTGCAAAACGCTCTATTCAAATATAAACCCGGGTAGTTTGGCGAGCTGATATAGCCACTTTGCTGAGAAAAATGTCCACTCCCTCCACATCCTACAAAAACGATTAACAACTGAGAATAATCTAAAATGGTCAATGAAAAGCATCACAGGTACGTTTAAGTATAAAGTGTGATATCTTATTTGTTGGATATCCATATTCTAGAGAATCAGATAAAACCATTCCTCAATTTCTTTCAAAACACCAAAGGGCCACTCAAATACTTGGCAGGAATTTAGAGATTTATCAAATGCGACTTTTTTTTATCTACAACTCGAAAAGATTTTTTGACACATTTACTTTAATAATTATAAAGTAACTCAGGTTAAGCGTTTTGTATATTAAAAGTTTAAAACGTTTTCTTTTCATTCAACGCTGTTTGTTTCTTAATTTTAAAAGCTCACTTGGTGCTGAGGTTGTTGTAGGTTGTGCCGTTGTTGGAAGTAGAGGAACGATTTCTAGATTATCAATTGCAATATCTCCTCTATAACCTTGCCCACGGATACCTTCAAACACTAAAGCCGATACATTACCAGACAGGGCCAGATGCACTCTTCTCCAAGCTACAAAAAGATGAAATTCACATTTGCATTCAAGCAAAATTAAGAATGGTTGATAAAGTCAACTGCTATATGGGTTCCTAATTACCTTAAACTGCATTTTCACGAAGGATGCACATACATCTTTCTCAATGTACTCAAAATTTAAATGATTTGAGCGTTTCAAAGTTATTACGCAAGTTTTGAACTTAATCCATAAGAATCCGCCCTAATCAGAAATATATTAATCGGACAGACTGTGTTAATTTGTCTAGTTGCCTAGAATGACTTTCTCCTGGTGATTCCCTTTCCGAGTAAAGACAGTTAACCTTATGTAGAGACTTTTGAGAAATAAAAGCAAATATGAAAAAGAAAATTCATGAACCAAAATGGACATATTAAGATATCAGTATTCCGATTGCAAATGGGATGTCATATGCTGAAAACTATCGATAACAGTTTCTTTGGAGTAAAAGATTAATTTACAGTTTACGCCAAAAAAACAAAAAACAGAATCCTCTCAAGTGAAATAATTTCTTAAATATTTATCCTATCAACTCAATCAACTAAAATCTATAGATGATGATTTTATATTAAGGTTGTTTCACAAAATTGATTATTTGTGATACAATACATGATCTCAGAATGTGTCCAATTTTCGGGAAATCAACAATCACATTAAATCATTTCACGAGATATTATAAAAATTCAGAAAGAAATTTCAAAGAAACGTAAAATCAAAGTCTCAATTAATATTTTGATTGGAAAATGAAGAATAAGCAATGGTAAAACATATCGTGAAATAGTAATATCAGATTGAAATTCCTCACAGCTGAGCAAGAACACAGCAAACGCTGTACAAAATTCTGATGGACGGATTCTCAAGAAATCATTATGACAGCAGAATGATCAGTCATGAGCACTGCATGACATTGCATGCAAAATGCAGCTTAACAAGAACCTAAAAGAATGCGATTGCTTTAAACAAACGATGTGGAACCATTTGGTTGACACGAAAATCATACAATTTTTTTCTCTGTCAAAAGTGGGCACATTTTTTAATTGAGCAGAAAAAAGAATATTGAATATAATGTAACGAATTTAGTATGGCATTGTCTTCCATAGATTGCAGTTCCTGTACATGAGAAGTGAAGCTGAACACTTAGCCATTATGTCCCTTTCATTGAACATATGCCTGAGGTCTGACGGACCGAAGGCACATATTCAATGGCACGGACATAATTGTTGAATTACATACCTAAAGTACAAAATCATAGAATTTCTAATATGTAGAAATGCGTGAAAAGACCAACATTTTACACGATTCCAGTCGAAATTACTTTGTTTGCATGTTATGACGTCATAAAATTGTCATGGTAATAAAGTTTGGCGGCTAATACTTAGAGGTTATGTCACTATGACGCAGCAGGAGATCCAAGACGTCATTTCCATTGTTCTTTCGGCAAAATCGCGTAGTAATCTACGGTGATCAGTCCATTTAAATTTCACGCTTTTGAACGTCATGGTGTATACATGCATTTCTAATCGATCATATCTCAGTCAATATTTATCATTATATTATAAATTTGATAATTAATGAAAGCTTATAACCAGGGCATTACGTATGTGAATTTATTATTTTGGTCAGATAAAATACCAACCAGTTACGGGTGCTAAAGTTTTGACATATTTTTCATTAAAAATGCAGAAATGTGTATCATTTTCGCGAGTTAAATAGGCTATTAAAACAAGTCGGGTTAAAAAATGTTTTTCACTCATCATTTAGCCCACATCGAGCTCTTTCCAATGGTATAGTTGTTTTTTTCTGAAACCCCTGAAGACAAATTTCTGCCAACTTTCTGTAACGACGAGTGAAAAATCATGTTTTTTCCCGCAAACCAATGACGTCGTGTTTCTCGATTTTTATACCAAGATTAGATTTGATACGCGTATGATATTTGTTCACGGTCATATCTCGGTCAATATTCGTCATTGAATGATCATTTTTATAGTTAATGAAAGCTTATTACAAGGGCAATGCGCATATGGATAAGTTATTTCGACCCGATTAAATACCACCCAGCTACGGGTACAAACGTGTAAAACATTTTTTCACAGAAATTCACTGAAAATGCACAAATGTGTATCACATTCGCGCGTTAATTGGGCCATTAAATCTCGTTGAGTTAAAAAATGTTTTTCGCTCTACATTTAGCCCACAATGAGCTCTCTCCAATGGTACGATTGTTTTTTTCTGAAACCTCTGAAGACAAATTTCTGCCAACTTTCTGTAACGACGAGTGAAAAATCATGGTTTTTACCGCAAACCAATGACGACGTCGTATTTCTCGATTTTTAAACCAAGATTAGATTTGATACGCGTATGTATTTGTTCATGGCCATATCTCGATCAATATGCATTAATGATTCAGTATGAATCTAATACAACATAAAAGAGTATCACAAGCACATCACATTGATGGACTTATTACATATGATCCGATGGAATGCAGCCAATAAAACCAGGTTACGTGTTACCGTTCTTCACGCCAAATGCGTAAATGTGACTCGTTTTAGCGCATTAATTGAAGCATGGTTGGACATCAGTAAGAATTCTTTTCCAACTTTGAACAATGAAAGTCAAAATACCCGGCTTTTAATTTTACGTTGTGAGGTCGGCGGCCGTCTCTATTTCTCGATTTGTCGAATGAGGGAATTCATTGTATAAATGTGCAATCATTGCTCGCTCTGTATTTAAATCGATTTTATATCAAGACCGGACACCGGATATCACGACGATGAATAAATATCCGAATTAAGCGCATTATTTCGAAGGCATGTTTTATTCGAAAATGATCAGCTCATGTAAACATATTCATTCATAGCATAATGACCCCTGTTTAGTCTCGGATGAGCTGTGAATGCCTTCTATGCCCGGCTTCAATTCAACAATTCTGCCGACGCCCCTAAGTCAACACGCTATTAAAAATCATCCAATAAAACCGCTATCAGGCTATGCAGATATAAATTTTCGAAAACACTATCTCAGACACAGATTGGTTTTAAAAAACATTGTACTGGTTTCAGCATTATGTTCCGAGGAGCCACTCACCTAATAGCCATAATTTGTAAATTGTGCATCCTCAGTCTGTCAGCCGCTTAGCGTATGGATCAGTGACGCTGACCGCATATTGCACCTTTTATAATTTGTAGCAGTTTGCACAACGTCGACGTGCAACTAGTTGGTGCAAGGAGGGTTGACTCCGAGAATTTCATTTTTGGAATGTTTCGATAGGAAATAAGACCAAAATTCACGATCCAAATGTTGAAGTGAACAAATGGCGGCTGTTGGAATTCGAATTTTGAAGCACATTCCCATATATGAGACAGAATATGGATATTGCACTCTGGGAGGCAATCTTCCTTGCCCTTAGGAAAATCAATAGTACATCGACTTTATTTATTTAATAATTGAAAGGAAGTGAAGTTAACGAAATATTCGAATACAATACATACTGCCGAAAAAGCACATTTATTTCGTGGGTATTTAAAGGACCGCGAGTTGTTTGTAGAATGAATCTAGGGAGCTTGTTCATGCATTCCACTTGTGTTTTTCATCTAAAAAACATCAATACACTTTTAAACACTATGTAACAATACTTGGGTGTTAATCCATAGATAATACTAGAAAATGAGATATTTTTGGGGATTATATGGTGCAATCTTAAAGTCAATTAAATGTTTTAAAGTGTATCATTCTACAAACAACTCACGGTCCTTTACCCTACAAAACTCCCCTACCCTTCCGTGTTTTCCTGACGTTTTCACGAACCTTCCCTGTTCCACCTAACAAGACTCTTTTCCCCCATTGCTATACCCGTATACTGGTATACTGCCCATAGATCTGTGCACAGGAGTTTCACACGGAAAATGAACTTATTTTAGGAAATATTGTGGAAAAAATTATACATAGTAAATAATTTCTCAACAATATAGGCTGACCGTTGAATGCAATTATTCATTTATTTCATTTCATCAATACTAGTAATCATAAAATCATGACGCTGACATGCCAGCATGCTGACATGGTTTTAATTCTAAAAATTAAGATAAAGTGCAGTTATATAGTACCAAATAATATTCATTCATAATATGCTAGGCTATGGAACAAATACTCAGTAATATGTCTTTTGTGGAGATCAATTCTGAAAAAGAGGGGTGGACCCCCAGAGCTTTAGCGATGACTGATATATTAGTCTCCTGCCTACCACCTACCATGAGTCTGGGTATCGACTTAGAAAATATTGAAAATTGTAATGTCTGAAAAACCAACTCAATCACACATATTATTAAACTTCAATATCTTATCCTTCTATTCTGAGATTACAAAAATATCAATTTGTATCACAATTGATGAAGAATATTGGCATCAAAGACAAATCAATGGCAAATATTAAATGAATTATTTATACAAAAACTTTGAAACATATCCTCCAAAATATTGCGTACTTTCTTTGTATAGACATTGAATGGTATTTCTGGATAAGTGAATTGGTGTTTATCTGGGTAATCAAGGGATTATAGTCACTCAAAGTTACTGAGCATCCAGTTTTGAGACTTCAATTGTGTTAGTGAAGGACGATTCTCGGTTTGGAGAACAGTCTCTTGGGCTAATTATTTTTTTGCGAAAAATCTAGAAATATTACCCAAATTAAATTATGACTATTCAATAGAGGACATTTAAATCTATATTATGTAAAAAAAATCAAATTTGTCCGGAGCAGGGATAATGCTCATTTAGATTGATGAACTTCGTTCTCCAAACCGAGAATCGTCCTTTACACATATTTCAGTCAAATTCATGCTGAGCACAACATTTTGGTTTCAATATTATAATCTCTATACATGACCCTGGTGATGAAGATTCAGAATCAGTCAAAAAAACCTAAACCGGAAAACTGTGCTCATTGTGCAAAACTAAAAGTGAAGCAACTTTTTTTCTGATATTTCTTACATCAAATGGC